TCAAAATAGTCCCTTATAACATCAATATATAGTTCACATATCTTCGATATAAAGCTTCGAAACATTTTTTAAAGTCCGTAGCTAGAATATTATTTAAAGCACTTATTATTCTTCTGAATATCCTCTATGTCTTGAAAATGTTTCGTGATTTTTTTTTTGAGCTTTGGAACAGCATAAAATTTGAAAAAGTTAGTTTTGGTAAGTAAAATGGGCAACATATACAAGGGATGGCAGGGAAAAATGTTTGCTTTTCTAAATTTTGACAAAAAGAAACAATTACATTTAAGTCCTCATGGATTTATGATCCACTCAGGTAGATCACAACATTATGGCTTAAAAACAATTAAATTATAAAAATCGTTTTTATGATGAAAAGTTAAATTTGTAAATAACGCATTATTTATGAGAAAGTTAGCTGAAGATTCTCAAAGACTTTAATATAAATATTTTAATTGTGCGAAAATAAATTTTTACCTCTCGAAATCCATGTTAACAATCTCTTTCTTGGTCAAGGAAATTGCATGACAACGTTCCTACGTACAAAAGAATCATCATTTTTGACCAAGAAAGGAATTGTTAAGATTAACAATCTCTTTCTTGGCCATATGATAAATTAGCTATTTTATTAGTTGAATCTGGCTTTTTTGAATTCAAGCTGTTCCCAGAGTTCAAAAATATAAAAAATGTTTTAAGACGTCGAGGATATTCAGAGGAACGTAACGAATGTTCTGAATAACATTCCAACTACGTTTTTAAAAAAAGTTCTTTGAATCCAAGGTAAATTATATTGATGACAGACCACTTTGAAAAATAAAATATAACAATTTATTACGTGAGATATTTGTGTTTTTTTGTTGTTGCAGTTCGGAAACATTAATGTTAGACTCTAAAGGTATTTAAAGAATGATGTCACAGTTGTATAGAGTCGATAGATGGGAGTTCCATGGTTTTCGTCACCATTAGGTCGATTTGTTCTCACAATTACGCAAAGACAACGTAACGGTTGGGAAATACGCGGAAAAAATGTGGGATCGGTTTCACCGTTCGAGCATCGGCATCGAACGCACTCGGGAATATTCAATTTTTCGGTCTGCCGCGTCGCATGATTGCTGCGCGTATCTTCCGCGAGAGATATAAATCGTCTCGGAAGCGCCGATATAACGTATAATCAAATACGAAACACTTCCGACCGATTTTTGAATTCGATGTAAGAATAAATAAAAATTATTTTTAAGACGTGGAAAAATCGATTTCGAACTTGGACAGTCAATAGAGAGACAATTACTTGAAGAAGTAATTCCTTCTTTCCTCGAGTTGTAAAAATTAAAGACCATGACATTTTTAGAAGTCTACAAAGAATTTTTAACTTCCTGACATTTAATTTGTTTGCAATCTAAAGATTATAAAGCATACAAAAAACTTAAGCAATCAATTAATTGGTTAAACCAATTACAGTAAAAACCATAATGTCATAACATAATTAGTAGTAAATCCAACTGTTGATATTTACATATTTTATTGCTGAAGTTTTTTGTGTATTATAATCTTTAGATTACAAAAAAATTAAATGCCAGAAGAGTTGAGAGTTATTCTTAGTCTTCCAATAATGAAACCTTCCTCTCTTATTCTTTTCATTTCGAGTTGCTCGAATCCCTCGACAGATTCTCAAATGGCGCGTCAGTATTATTCGCGCGATCGTGGAATGAATTATGCGAACATTTTAGCAAAGAGTGTGCGAACACCCGCGGGCAGGTTCGGCAGTCCTGTGATCGCTTATTATCCTGCCGATACCCCGCGGAGTTGGTCACGATGATCCTCGACCGGTCCTGCATCATCTTGTCTGATTTTTCTTTCGCTTTCCATCACCACGTTCTCGCCTCTGGATGCTATTATCCCGTGTTGCCCGAAAGCAATTTTCTCCGTCGCTTTCTCCAATCGCTTTTGCGGCCTCCCTTGGCTCGCCGCACGACGTTTAAAGGGTCGTTAAAATCGGACGGAACTTGTGTGGTACTTGAGCGTAAAATGAGTATCTCAAAAATATCGTGATGTAGTAGTTGAAGTAGATTAAATAAGTAGAAGACTGAGTTATTAAAAGTAATAAGTTTTATCAAAAGTAATAAGTTATATCGAAATCAATATCTTCAAATTGATGAAAATATCTTTAAAGAGTCATCAATTAATTGTAAGTGAATAAATAATTGTTTATTAAAAGTTTATTTACGCGGAATTTATTAATGCGGAATTTAGAACCATACGATGTCGCAAACATCTCAGAAAGTTCTTTAGTCATGGAAGTAACTCGCGTTAGTTGGTAATGAAGCAGAGTGTCCCAAGTTTTGTCGATGCAGCTGGAAAGTCGTGCGTCTCGCATAGTTAAAAGTTTGAAAGACTTATGCGCAAAGTGTGAAACGTGAAATTCTGTCTAGTAGTTCAACGCTCGGCCGCTCGTTTTACATCGAGCGTGTTTTCGTGGCTGCTTGCTTACTTGTCGAGTCGATAATTTGGCTTTCTGCCTTCTGTTATTAAATTCATAACGTCAAATTATACTTGAACAATTTTCGATTATTTTTATAGGTTGTCACTACTCCTCGTATATGTCATTAATTTAATTAAAACAATGGAGTTAATCAATTTAACTCAAGAAAATGTATTAAATTCGACTCAAATTTAATTTATTATTTACTACATTGAAAAATACTAAATGTTAATAAATATTTGTTTGAACAGTTCCAAGTAAATATTTACTAAATGTAAATATATATCTATTGGATACAAAAATCATTAATTTAACTATCAAAACACAAAAATTTATCTTGTTTATCCCATTCTATTAATGCAAACTACTTAAGCAAACGTTAGTTTCGATAATCTGATTTCAACGATGTACATTTTTGCACGATGTACATTTTTCATCGCCAAAAAAAAAAAAAGAAATAAAAAGAAACGAACGCGTACAGCGCGATTGATACGCACATTTCTAATCAAGTAACGCGAAAAACAATGCGGTCTGGCTGGAAGCCAAAATTGCGTAAACAAAATTGAGTTCGCTCTGAAAATCAGGTCGCCATATCTCTCATTGTTACAACTACCTCTCTTGTCCCTTCGTTCCTCCCAAAATCCAAACAGCATCACGGGGAAGGTCAACCGGAAAACTTCCCTTGTTGTTCTGCTGTAGCCGAAAAGTCTGGCGCCGGTATGACGGCAGTCCAACAGGGCATCCTGTTCAGAGGACGAGCGCCAGTACTCTTTCACCTCCGGCGCGATGTGCACCTCGTCTATTCTTCTAGTCACCTTCTAGTCTTTATCTCCGGATTAAGAGATATTGTCGAATACTTTTGTTCGTTAGTAGTTCTCATTTAGCAAACTCCATTACGCTCTCGCTATCGTAATATCGACTTGCGATTTTTTCGCAATTCTCATTTTTATTTAATTTTAATTATACGTGAAACTCATTGCGATAAATCACTCGTCAAATCGGACGAATCAAAGGAAACGACTTAGAACACAGAATGCTTTGATCAATTCGATAGATAGGAGGAATTTCCACATGTAACTTTGAAAATTTTCCAATAGATATAAAAGCAAAAGCAGATTACAAAATAAGTAAACCGCATACGCGCCGTTTGTTTCGTGAATGGAATAAAAGAAGTTGAACGTTTTAAAGCTCACGACGTTTGACGATAAAAGTTTCTGTGGTGATAAAGGAGCAAGATCGGAACGAGCCTTTCTGTCTAGCTATTTTCACGTACCGCGGTAGCGTTTTGTCAACCACGAGAGTATCGAACGAAGAAGTTCTTCGAGATGTTGAAGTTCCGAGTCGCATCCGGCCAACGGAAGTGCGACAGCATGGTGAGAATCTTAAGCGTTTGAAACTTAAATCTCAACTCGAGATGCGAAGAGACACCGCCGGTAGAAAGTTAATTTTTCTAGATTTATCTTAAGAAATTCCTTATGAATCCTTCGTTCAATTTTGTCATTGCAATATCAACAACATTGCTGAAAGCTCGACTATTGATGCGATTTTTTTTTATTTTATGTAGGTTTGGTTTTCCACTCTTTAGTTAATTTGTGAGACTTTCGCTCGGTTCTACTAATGTAGATTAACTTTAATCTCGGTTTATTATTTTTCTTTTTCTAATTTTTCCCAGACAATAAAAAATCCAAATTTGGGATGTAAGATGTTCAAAAAAATATTTTTAATATATTTTTTTGACGTTTTTAAGATATCTTTTATTTTTTATTTTGGAAATGCGTGTTGTCGGAATTAGAAAAAGATAATGAATTAGTTAAACCGAGATTAAAATTAAACTATAATACATTGATAGAAAGGCATCAATCTGATGATAATGTACAAATTTTAAATCTAAACTATAAGTTAACTAAATAATCTGCCATTTTTTTAAGCTTTGCAGACTGGAAAATCTATAATGACGCTGAAATAGTGTCACATTTTGGAGTAAAGAATATAATGAAATAATGAATTATAAGATTATATTTTCGAAAATTATAGATCTCTAAAAGTTAATAAATACACGGACGCTTTTGCGATTTATGAAAAAGTTAATAATCTTAAATAGCACAAATATAGATATATATTTATTAACATTTAATATATTGTAATATAAATGGTACAAAAATATATATATATAATATTTATGTTATAATATTTATCTTAAATATTCTGTGATATTTATATTTCATCGTGTTTTGATCTATCGTGATGGTAATTTGTCGTCGTTTCGCCTGTGCGGCCGTTTTCAGACAACGTCGCGTGTCGACGTTTGAAAAGTTGCCTGCCTTTAGGCGCACTGAAGGCCTGCAGTGGTTCTCAATCATTTTTTTGGTTTGATAATTCGCTCAGCGAATCACGATATAATTAAATCGTATTTACTCGTACTTACATTAATTTGTGTTAAACGATCATAAGTCAACTAACTCTTACGTATATCATCACCAAATTTTTTTGATCGCAATCTGATTTGATCGATTATCTGTTTCAGGTGAATCCAGGAAGCAAGGCAGCTCAACAAGGAGTGAGAGAGGGTGATCTGATCAGTAATATTAACGAAAGAAGCACTCGAGATCTGACTAACAGCGAGGCGCACGCTCTGTTACGTAATTCTGGGGAGCAGCTAAAACTTGGTCTCAACCAGTAAGTGATCGAGATATTTAGATTTCTTTGTAGTACACTGAAACAGAATTTTTTAAATCTAAGTAATTTTTTTGTTGAACAGTTTTCAAATAAACATTTCTTTACTGCAAGTAAATATTTACTAAATGTAAACATATATAACTTGTAGCAAGTATATATTACTAAAATATGATTATTCGGAACAACCATTTAAGAAAATAATTACTTAACAATAGATTTAGAAAAGTTTTTTTAGTGTAATAAAAACAGAATTTTATTATATTCTGTTATTGTTAATATAATTCGACCAGAAATTTTATTTTGATTCATCTGTTTTTTTTTTCGCAGAGAAAATATCGGCTCGCCGAAAAGGAGGATCTACAGGAGCAGTCTGCAAGAGAACACCACTACCGAAATTCAGAACAGTAGGTATTCTTTGTGAAAACCGATCGATCGATCTCTCACTCACTTATAAGAGGGAAGTAATCGTAATTCTGTCATTTGTGTGCCACAGAGATCACCACAAGGACCACAACGACAACGCGCACACGGACGGAGTCGGAGAGGAACGTTGCCAGTAAGTTCTCTGTTTCCTTATGCAAATATCAATTTTCACATTGTTCTGCTAGTGATGGAACATTTGCTCTTAGCATAATTGAAAATTGTATTTACTTGTAAAACGCCGTTAACAAGAGGGAACATTCGATACAAGCGTACTTCGATAATTAACAATTTACAAACCATATCTGACAGAAACTTTTGACGAATGGCGTCGAATAAGCTCATGATTAATTAAGTTATGTAATATAGCGTCGAATTTACGAGTATTTTCCAATTTAATCGTTGTTTGAGCAATAAGCCGCGTTCGATATCGATTCCCGATTAATCTCAAGTGGTATCAAACGTCGAACAAATCGTTATTTTTCAATAAATTTTTAACGCTACACTTTTATACACGCTTATAATTGCAGCGCTAATAATCGAAATAATTGCAGTAACATAATTAATTTATAAAGCAATCACGCGAGTATCGTAATTGCGTAAATAATCTCTAGAATATTGATGAACCACAAGACAATTAACGCGCGTTGACACGTTTGTTAATAATTAACAAATTCAGAACTTACGATTCCGATCGTTCTCGTTCCTGCATCGTGTTACGTCGGAGAACCCAGAAATTACCCACGCATGACCGCCGATGTTTGATCGAGCACAATAATCCTGCCAGTTAACTGAGCGTACAATGCGCGTAGTTTAATTATCTCCGATGATCTCAACGGCGAACAATGGCGGCCGGTTCCTTTATGCGCGACAACCGCAGAAACCGAAGTTAGCGTCGATGACGTTTTGGTTGGTCGAATTAATCATGCTAGCTTTTCATGCATTGCCCTTTATAGATATTTAGCTATTATAGGAGAAAAACAATTAAAATTTTCTTTCAATCAAACTGACAAGCAACGAATTTTTCTAATTTCATCAATTTTTCACTTTCTAACTGCTTCAGATTATTTTAATGTATATCAAATTTGAAGACATTATCCGTTGAAATTATTTAATTCTATCGATATCAGATGAAATCAGATATACATAATAATGTAGATATGGGAAAAATAATCAAAATTTTGAAAAATTTAATTGTTTAGTACAAACTATCAATTAAAATATCTTGAATTGAATTTAAAAAAGATTTTTTACCATGGTTTCAATAAAATTAGGTTTGAAAGGGTTAAAAAAAATATTTATACATGTAGCTAGAAAAACGGAAAAAACTATGGTTGAAATAATTAAAAATCTTCGTATAATCGAGAGATATCGGTTTCGAAAGCTGGAGACTATTAGAGATTTTTGTCTCCTTCAATTAATCGCCGATTAATTAGCAGCTTATTCGGATCCTCGGATGACTGGATAATAACGAGCCTAATAAGTCCACAGCGTATGACGTGTACGGACCATAAATGTACGCGGATCATCCCACTCTGGTTGTTATTACCCGGCTCTTTTCTCCAAATTGCCCGCTCGTCGTCGCGGTACAATGCGCATCCAGACAGGGGCATACCCACGCCATGCGTCGAATGTGCGTGCGTGTTGTTCACGCACACACGCAACACACCTGTCCCCGGCTCGCATGTACATTCTCATGTATACGAGCGTACACCTGCCACCACAACGACACGCTGCAATTCCGTGCGGGCGCACCCTTGGCTCTCCGGGAAGACCCTACATCGAGGAGGCGACCCTCTTCTTCTTCTCTTCTTCCTTCGCTGGGCCGCCGCCTGCGGACCCACCTTTCTCGTTCAGTATCAGGGAACACTTTGTCGAGCGTGCCGCGCTGAGCAATCAAGTTTCAAAGTCGCTTATTTCGAAAAGAAACACCGGAATCGCGAAGATTTTCGGCTTTTCGTGATCGAGGATCGGGGATCGATCGCCTGATTTTCCGGGAGAAGTTATTGATGGAAAAGTGAAATGTGAACATCGTAATTAAACCAAATGTTTGAAAATTTGGAGAATTAAAATTCAAATAAGAGATAATACAGAGCAATGAATCAGTACACAATACTGCAATTAATGTATTGACCAATTCAGATACAAAATCAAAATCCCAAACATTTCGATTCACACTGATGTGATAAACCATCCTCTTTCAGTGGATAAACACTTACAAAAATTCACAATACATGCAATCGCAATCGCAAATCATGCTTTGATAAAATTTCTTTAAGATCTTATCCCCCCGTAAAAAAAGTGCAATTGATCCTCATATATGAGTCCATATCGGAAAAAGATCGCTCGTAATGGATAAATTTCTGTAATGTTAGAGAAAAAGTGTGACAGTCCACGATTATTGGCAGAGTTCCGGAATAAAGTTGTTACATTTAAAAAGACTATTGAATGAGATAAAATGGTATAAATTGGAAAAAGAATTACGAACTCATACAAATATATAATAATTACAATTGTGATAAAAATTTGCAGATTTGAGTAATCACGTAATTTCCTTTCGACGCGGGGGAGATTTGAAAATTTTAGATACAAGAAGATAAGTAAAGTGTAAGACCGTTGATAATTACGTGATCGATCCCCTGATCCTCCGCTTTATGATAATGTAATTTTTCGTGTAATTTTTTTTATCAATTTGATCGACAATTTAGTGAACGCTCAAGCAAATATACAGGGCAATGCCGATGAGTGTTCAATCAGGAAACGCGTACAACAGCGGGGATGCCTGTGAATGATGATGATCGTCAACAATGCGCGTATTATCCGACGGTACAATGGTCGCGAATCGCTGTTTAATGAATCCGTATGCGATTGCGTAATGAGGAAAGAAAGGGCGCGCTGGGTGAACTCGTCATGACAAATCACGCGATGAAAGTAAATTCAGCGTGGACGCGTTGCATCATGATAATTAATGAAGTTCGATTGAGGTGATGATAGAGGTGACAAATTAAAAAATAAATGATCCTCCATAAAAATGAAGCTTTTCGATTGTATTCGGTGTCTCAAGACGCTGAATCAACGACAGTCGTCGCGAAAACGCAATTGCGAAACGACGGATCCATTGGTGATGACGAAACGACCACCCACGCGTCGTCAACGTTATCAACCTCATCATCGTCGCTTCGAAGGTCCGCAGAAGGTGACTTCGCGATCCAACGCCCGATTTCTAACCACGATACGTAGCTTCAGCGCTTCGTGGAAACGACGAGGATTCGCAAGGACGAGGAGCAAGCATGAGATCCGTACGAAACCAAGGAAACTCGCCAACGATGAGATCAAATCGAAGGGCGTGGGAATCCCTAAGACGGTTAATGGAATCCACCTGAAGAGGAAGAGGAAGATCCCCGCGAAAAGCGTGGAAACGTCGAATGGCAACGACACCGGACGATGGGAGGAAGTCAACGTCGCCGGAAGAAGAGCCGGGGAGCTCGAGCGTGAATATTATGAGCACCTGGAAGCGCTGAAGTTCCTCATCGACCCGCCGCCGTGCTTCCGTAACACGGAGACCCGGCAGAACTTTGAAAACAAGTTGAACAGCCTTGATTTCAGACGGATGAACACCGTGGCGATTCCCGCGGGACCCGAAACTAATGAATATCAGCATCTAGAAGGTCCCAACGGGTTTCAGAGCTCGATCCGTGAAAATGATCTGTTCGATCGCAGATCGTACGCAGACACCCTGGACCGCATCGTTGAGGAACACCTGAAGATCGAGCGCACGATGATGGACTTGTTCGTTAGGGCGCCGATTCTGAAGAGTCGACATGGCGAACAGGTGTCCCCCGCGCGCGAGAACAAAACTGTTCGCTTCAAGGATGAGGTGGAGCGCTCGGGAACATCTGTCATCGAACGATGGAAAAAAGGATTGAAACCCGAGGGCGAAGGTCGCGAGGCCGCGGGGATGGAATTCGATAATCTCGTAAAGACTGAAGAAATCTCGGACTTCTCTCGCGACCGGATACCGAACGAGAGCTCGGACGTGTTCGATGTCGAAACGCGGAACGGTAGGTAGCGATTAACTTCAATTTGGGAAGAGATTTAGAAAACGTCGGAACATATCGGAAAAAGCGATTCAACGTCGAAACATATGGGAAAAAGCCCGCATTTCTACACTGAGAAAAAAATGCTCAAAAATTTATTTGTGAGATATAATGTTTATTCCAGTGAAATGAATTTTTTATTTGAATAAAGCGAAATAAAATTTTATTTCTGGCAAATAAACCATTCGTTTTATTTTTTGCTGTTAATGAGATGCATATATTTTACAAAATATATATTTCGTTTTTACAGTTTAATGTTTCTATAACCAATAAATATCAAAAAATATGTCATTTGTACTATATTTGCTTGCGAATATTTCGACGTTTTTTTCTCAGTATACATAAACATTTATAGCATTCTCGTAAAATTTTAAGAACAAGTAAATATTATTTAAGTAATATAATCGAATATTATAAATCTTGATCGAGATTTTGCATAAACATGTAATTTGAGCTTAATCAGTTGTGAATTTCATGAACCGGTAATAACCAAAGTTCCTCTTCAATCATCAATCCAACTTGCGTTAACATCAACTCGCGACACTGCTCTTCTTGCCACTGAAATTTGAGCGTCATTTATGGGCTGTTCTTGCTACGACGAACGAGATAGTGCAATTAGCGATGCGTCATTACGTTCGCTTTTCGAGGGTCATCCGATTCTTTAAATAGAGGATGCACGAGAGTCCTAAGTGCTATCGACGCTGCCTGTTAATAAACTCAAGTGTCGCATTCATGAACATGCTTCAAATTTTATTATGAAATTCAATCATAAAAAGACCAGTGGCCTTCTCCCTTATGTTTTTTAAATGATAATACATGGCTATTAATATTTAAATATTATTGTTCTCTATATGAGCTTTCTGATGGCGATAATATCGAGCGACATTTGTCCAAGGCTATCGACAAAATCACCATAACAATTTCTTTGCGACAGTCTTTTCTGCTCTGACATTTATGCGCCGATATTACGGCCGATGGAACGGCTTTCGATTTATGTCGTGAAGTTCCAGTCATAGCCTCGATCGAACAATGTGCCACCGGAAATAGCAATCCCCGTTTGTGAGCGGGCTTGTACGAACGGAAATTGTTCCTTTATCGTAAGCGAACAAGCTACGCATTAGATATTTAGGGCAATTGTTCGCTCACATGAAAAATACTGTACAAGGCTTGCTTTAGACAGTCAAAATCGATAGTAGTAAATAAATTTCACCGCACTATCGGAAATTGAGTTTGATATAATTTGGAAGTGCTCTTTTTTGTTTCCAACTAGGAATATACAAGTATATGTTATTATATTAAATAAATATTATTGTTTTAATATTCATATGATTACATAAAAATTATGTAGCTTTTTAGGATAGTTGAAAGTAACGATAAAAAATCTTTATGAAAAAAATCGCGCTTGATTTGACGAAAAGAATAATTTTTTTGAAGTATTCAAAAATTTAGGTAGATATATATATAGTAGTTTGAAAATAATTTTGTTAAATCATCAAAATTATGTATAAAATTCAAACATGTTGAACATTAGAATGCTGTAAAAAGTTTTGACATTCTTGTTTGAGCGTCCTACATAATTATTTTGATAGTTTATCAAAATTATTTTCAGATCTGTGTCTTCAAATTTTTATACTGAAAAGAAATACTAAATTTTAATAAGCCAGTTGTTTGAATAGTACCAATTAAACCTTTACTAAATACAATGATTATATTTAGCACAAGAACCATTAATTTGGTTTAATTATCATTTCTTATTATTGAATAAATATTTATATTGCTGTAAGTAAATAAGTATTTACTCAGTTTAGGTTCAGCAAAACTGTTCTTTCCGTATGAAACCCAATGCAAGGGCACGTCTTGGAATAATTCTTCGAATCTACGCGGAGCGTGACTCCGGGTGATCGATTATGCAACGGACAGAATCGTCGGGCAATAAAATATGTCATGCTGGTCGATTGCGCAAGCGATGAACGACAGTGGCGATCGGATCGAAGGAAATCCCTCGTCGTGAGGGAGTTCACGGTCGAATGACGAGAAGGACGAAAAGGGCGCAGCGCAGGGCAGTTGTGGAGGACGAAGATGGAAGACGCGAACCGCGGAAACGTGGGCTTGGCACCTTCGGGGCATGACGGCACACCCATTTCGCCCATCGCGTGTATTAACGTGCCCATGGCCAATGGGCCTGTCGTCCCGGTTGGAAGTTGCTCGCGTGAAACGTTCCCTCTAATTTTCCCTCAGGGAAATTCGCCTCCGTAATTTTCCTCCGAGAGATCGCCTTTTCTGTGGTAACCAAATTTCTGCAAAGATTTTATGTAATTTTACGTAGATTGAAAAGAATGACTGTTTGTATCAATTTTTGTAGGGTTGACACGGAAAAAAGTTTTGCTGAAATATTTAAAAATTTAGCTAGATACAAATCTGATAATAATTTTGTTGGATCATCAAAGTAATTATTTTAATAATTATTGTTAATAATTTTTATTAATTATATATTTAATTATTATTAATAAATTATTGTAATATAATAATAATTATTAAAATGCCTAAGCGTTGATTCTCAACGTTTTTGCAAAAAGTTTTAATATTCTAGTAACCAAAATTTGAGCGTCCTACATAATTATTTTGATGATCCAAACAAAATTTTCAGGTAAAGATAAGAATGTTCCGAATGATAAAAAAAAAATCAGGAACTTTGTATAAAAATTCAATAAAACAGTTCTTTTTCTTGATCTCCGAAAGTTTTTGTGATCGCGAGTAAAAACTTCCAGAGATTAAGCAAAGAACTTTTTTTACTCATTTTTTATTCATAAGTTTCTAATTTTTTTCGGTCATATCCATCTCTATTTTCAGATTTCTGAGTCTAGCTAAACTTTTTAATGTTTCAGAACCACTCTTTCTATGAGATGAACTGAGGGAAAAACATTTGTTTGCCTTTTCAAAAAGTCGCAGGATTATGCGATAGCACTGCGCAGTTAAGACCCGACTTTCATCCCTTCCCATCGCGTTCGTGTCTTGTCCGTTACAGCCCAAATCCCTGCTGCGTAAGCTTCTTCGATCCCATTGTGCAATTAATGTGATATATATATTTTATTGCGCGGCAACTCGTTGCGTAACTGCAAGGTTACAACATCGGCAAGATTGGAGCGTGCATGGGTGGGTATTTGCGTATAGTGGATTTTTACGACTTTTATCGTCGAGACTTTCTGACCCGGTCAGAATCCTTATTTTAGCTACGCGCGTTAACACACCGAGATACGGGGGGGCGTTTGCTTGAAAGGAAAAAAAAAATGTTTCGTCACTTCCGGATCTCGTGCGACTACCGCGTACCCGCGTGTGTCCGTTCGCGATTGCCGTGACGCAATGAAAAGTGCGGAGAATAGATGGGTGCGCTCGCGCGACAGAGTCACTCCGCCGGCATTGTACGCTCGGAAGGAAGTCCAACTCGGAAGCGGCGCTATTCATGAATTCAGAGGGGAGGAGGAGGGGGGAGGACTCGTGTGCGTGCGTGCTCATGTACCCCCGTACGAGCGTTAATGCGTGCTATAGTTTCGCGTCTGTGTGTGTGTGTGTGTGCACGTTGAACATCACCGTTCCATAAATATCCCGAGTTCGTGCGCTTTCCAAAAAAAAAAGGAAAAAAAAGAGGAAGGTTGACACGTTTCTCTCTGCAGAATTTTTTGGAAAATTGTCAAGTGCTTATACGGTGCTCCACGTTAACGCATCTAAGTACCGGAGCGAGTCGAGCTTCGAGTGGAGCCCCGAACGTCGACAAGTTGGTACTTTCCAGCAAGAGATACAGTATAAGTCTGTGTTTCCCGTCTGATCTGATTAATTTAATATTGGTTAATTAATTACTGGAAATTCAATCTGGTTCATTTAATACTGGTCAATTAATTACTGGAAGAGAGTAATTAATTACTTATTTAAAGTACTGAAAGTACTGAATAATAGTTTTTAATATTTAAAATAATAATAATTAATTAATCTTTCAACATTGGTCGGTACTAGAGTTTTGTAAGCATTCCTGTGAAACTACATATTTGGAAGTTATAATGAGATAGATATAATATGTTTGATATTTGATAAAAGCGAGAAATTTTTGTAATTTTGGTACAGTCTAGTGCATGCTGAAAAAAAAAATTTACTAAATCTCAATACATATTTCTTTGAATAGTACTAATTGTAAATAAACATTTATTTACAGTAAATAAATATTTATTTAATAAAAAAGATGATGGTTTGATTTTTATGTTAAATAAATATTTATTTAGAACTATTCAAACAAATATTTATTAAAATTTAGTATTTTTCTTCAGTGCAACAATAAAAATTTTCAGGATTGCCACAGATCTGAAAAACCAGGAAAACCGGAAAAAGTCAGGGAAATTGAAATAGATCATAGAAAACCGGAAAAAATGTAAACAAGTTCGGAATTTTTAAATTTGCTCACAATTTCCTTAAACTGCTCCTATTCCAGATAATTGTTATAATTTTTTAATATTATATCTGACGTTTATAATGAAATACGTTCAAAACTCGCACTTTGAACAATTTTAATAAAATAATTACAAATAATAAAATAATTAAATAATTTATATTTTATTCTAAGGATTTCTATTTGATCGCCCTTTTTTGTAACTGCATTATTTTCCAATACTAATTTATCTTTTGTTGGCTTGAATTTGCACCCAAAATTTTAGTATGCTGCTAATCTTTTTTTTGTATTATTTTTAATAATATAGACTAGCTTTCCTACAATTTTTGATTTTCAAAGTATTAAAATTTACATATTTTTATATTGAAAAATTTTCCACTTTTATCCGGAAAAAAACCTGAAAAAGTCAGGGAATTTGAATACTTATTTTTTTATGGCAACTTTGAAAATAGATCTAGTGATCATTTCATCTTCGTTAAACATTGTCAAACAAGGATGTAATTCATTCTGTTACACTGTGTCATCTGTGTCCCTTGCTGGAAAGCTCTCCATATCTCTCGGAAGATAGAGCCTGAAAGTTTCGAATCGCTCCGTACGACCGACACACAGACGACCGTGGACTTCCGACACCGACGATGGTGTATTGAAGTTCCCATTCGTTCAATCGTGTAATCATCCACGTGTGTGAGTGATACAAATTCACCTGGATCGACGTGGATACGTGCACGAAACACGTGACTCCACACGGGTGGGGACACAAGCGCGTCTCGTGGGTGGTTTCGTTGGGTCTACTCGTATGGCTCAGTGCATAATCGCGATTCACGTATTCTACAGGTCGCGGTTCTGCCGCTGAATCGCGGCTGGTTAACATGGGCGTCGTCGTCGTCGTCGTTAGAATTCTCGCCTAAATTTAACGCACTCGTTCGTGCCTCGGCAACGTGCGACGCTTCACGTTTGTCATCGTCATATCTTGGTGCGTGCACTCTGCAAAGTCACGGATGTTCATTAACCGGTACCGGTGCGAAAGGCACAAACCGATTCGCGCCTGTAAAATTTGTCATAAAAATGTGACGTGTGAAGGAATTCATCAGTTGAGACTGAACGATGTAAATCGTAAAACTGTTTTGCTGAAATTTATTAATTTTCAAATTCTTTCATCTAACATACATTTATTTATATTAAGGAATTTTTAGTAATTTTTTTGCCATCGCGAGTTTTTAATAAATGAAACGTTTTTGAAAGATGATACGTGTGCTGTCTATTGCAACATCGAACCGTTTCTTTCAGATGACACAAAAGTCGAGCAGAGCTACGCCAATCAGAACGGTGGTCTGAAGAGCTGCCCGAGCGAGCAACGAAGCGACGCTAAGAAAGGTAAGAATGCTTTGTTATCAGAAATTATATATTTAGGAATGTTGGGCTGGACAACGCTTTCTGCATGAAATACTGTACGTTATCTTCTTCCTTCTTTTCTTCATCAAGCACCATCTTGTGATTGCGATTGTCTGGAACGATCTTTTTAAAAGCCTGCCGAATTGTCTCGCGTAAAAGGAAACTGGAATATCAGCAAATATCCCGTATATAGGTAAAGTATTCGGTGTATTAAAAATTGGCATAGTAAATTTCCTTGAGAATTCCGGAGATATTTTTGGGGATATTGAGATGCATGCTAGAATTGTTAAAGAATTGAGACTGTATTTAAACTAAAGAACAAAATAATTTTAGTGACTAAGAAATTAAAAAAAAAAACCATTTTAATTTTATCTTTCCTATCTTTTCTTTAAGTCAGAATGGAACATTTCGTGTCCAATAGAAATTCGTGGGAAAAATTGAAGCTGTAACTTTCTGCAAAATGCAGTACGGTAACATCTTTCCGTCGTAATACTCTTAGAAACTTTCAAATCCCGTTGCTCCTTTCCGGACGATGCGGGAAAATCGTAACGAGCCGTCGTCTTTAAACGTGAAAATAAGGGCGCGTCAAACGCACGTACGTGGGCGTGTAAGAAAAATCCCGAGTCGGGAAACTCGTGGCGGATATTAGATAAAAGAGAACGAAGAGAAACAGAAAGCTGAGAAGGTCGGAAAAGTTAACGTAAAACGACCGTGACGCGATATTTCCGACGAGAATTCTACGAGAGAAGAGGAAGAAGAAGGCAAGAGAGAGAAAGAAAGAGAGAGAGGACGTGCGAGAACGTGCGCTACGAGTTTTTCCACAAATTCACGATATCGTAGGACACTGCGACCTTCTGGATTACGCAACCGACGCGGAGGACTACGCCGTGATGCCGCAGGGCAATGCGCGTAACCGCAACCGCAGCCGCAGGAATCGGAACCGACGGCGACCTCCTCAGCCACCGACGAACATCACGGAATCCTCGCGAAAGGCCGAGCAGAGGAAACTCGAGGAGGAGAATCGTCCAACCTCGAGGAACGAGCGCGATAACGGCGACGACGACGATGACGACAACTCGAAGACGAACGACTCCGTCGCGGAGAATCCCGTTCCGGAGAATGTCGACCTGACCGAAGACGAGGCTCAGGGCGGATCTTCGTTGAATCACAGATGCAGATTCCGACCGAACGATAAGCGCAGAATCGAGAAGATCGACCTAGCAGAATCTCGTCCCGGGATAATCGAGATCACGACCGTCAGCAGTTTACCTCTGGAAGCGACGATCGGCCATATCGCCGGGGTGGGCATTTTGGAAACCGGAAATGGTAACGGAGCGTTGAAGGAGGCAACGATAGTGACGGTATTGGAACCGGTGGAATTGGTACGGCCGCTTTCTGATCGTACAAAGACCAGGCTCTCGCGAGGGAATGAGACTCGATTGGAGATCCGAGAAGTCAATGACAGCGATGCGGAGGCCGATTGTGGGTCAGCAATCGTCGAATTCGAATCCGATGCAGAGTCGGTCGGGGGCCAGGATTCCGAGGATCGCGTGGAATTCAAGCCAAGGGATCGGATCGGGCAGCAATATGTGCCACAGAAGAAGTTTCTCAAACCGGAAATGGAATCTCCGACTCTGATGTGGGCCACCGTGATGCCCAGAGACGTGGAGAAAAAGCTGCGAAATTTTATCGAGGACCTGCAACTACCGAGTTTCTCAGAAGAAGTAATCGAGGATGAGGGAAGATCTCTCGAGAAAGTTGCGTGCGATTTCGCGGCAGAAGAGAACAGATCGTTCGAGAAAACAGCTAGCTCGCCACGTCGGAAAACGAGGAAGCGCGCGATGTCGGCGTCGCATTACGCCAGCAGCTTTCTGGACATTATACAAGAAGAGGGTGAAAGATTATCGGAAGACGAGGCACAGCATATCAGAGATTTCATAAACGAGGAAATTAGTAAGTATCGGCGCGAGGACAGGCATTCTGTCGAGAGGATGACATCGACGGATGACATCGAAGCGAGAAGGGTTGATACTGACAAGATTGAATCGGCTGATGAGAAGTCGGAATGCGATATTAAGATTGAGATTGATACGATGAATGACATTTCGGAATTATGTTCATGCGATAAAGCAAACACTTGCGACGAGATTGAAAACGTCGAGCCTAATTTCGTTGAAAGCATTGCGAGTCCTGAAACTAAAGTAGTAAAAGACACTGATCCTGTGACTGAAACGATGAGCGAAAAAATGAATGCAAAGGACGACATCCTAAATAATGAATCTTTGGAAATTTTAGTAGACGCGACGCAAGCTAATTTAAACCTCGAGGACCGTTGTATTATTGAAGAAATTGAGATTGTGAAAAATGATACTACGAAAGACGGTGAGGAAAATAATGAAGCGGAGAAGCTAGAAAAAAACGTGACAAGTATTGTGACTGTAAGTGATATCAGTGACGCAGATGTAAGTAAAGCGGAAGGTAATAAATTTTCGTCCGCAGTCGAGGCACCTGCAAAATCAGACAACCGCGATGTTCCACGAAAAGATTCCATCGAGACTCGAAGGATCGTTAATCACAGCGTATCACGAGTGGACGACAGAGTTGATTCAGCCTCGAATTCGTCATCGAGCGAAGTAACCCTGTCGGAAACGAAGCGACCGCCGCCTCTACCGAAGAGGTCATCCAGTTTCGGCCGCGAGCCTCCTCAGAGACCGCCGACGCCACCTGAAATAGACTATATCTCGAGCGGCGCGAAGATTCATCAGACGTCTGTTGCGGCGAACGGCGACGGACGCGAACACGACGAGTCGACGAATTTATCCGCGCGGAAGCCGATTGTGAAGCGTGCGAGTTGTGAAGCGGCGGACGACGGGCTGCCACGACAGCCGGAGCTTCCCGGAGCTTGCAAGAGTTTTTGCACGTCGAGGACCGGTCGGGCAATTTATGGCGAAGATTTTTCGAGCTCGCGTGACATCCTCTCGACAATCGTTCGCGCTAATGAGATTCGTGGCCGTATAAATCAGGTCAGACGCGCCGACACCGCTCCGACAACTGGGAACGTTGAAGCTTCGACCGAGGGCGGTCGATCGATCGCGTCATCGGGTATTCGCGACGATGATCTGTCACGCTCGCGCGGCACCGGTACGCACGTCGTCACGTTGGCAAGCACGACTAGCACGGAAATAACGCGTCGCGAGGAAGGGAAACTCGCGACGCCCGCTGCATCGGTGGTATATGATCAAAACGCGTCGTCGTGCCAGCAGGAGGGTGAGGCCGATGTGTGCCGGTATCCCTCGGGTCAGGAGAGACACACGAATTCGGAAAGGAAGGATTCTACAGCGAATCACGAATCACCGAGGTGCAATAAATCAGATACTTGTTCGAATTTTTCGGTGAGAGACAAATCGGCGTCGTCGAGTATGGGTACGCCGAGTTCAAAGAGCAAGAAGAAACCCGAGGGAAAAATCGAGAAGAACGAGAAATCGACATATGGCTTTCACCGTGAACGAATAGTGAAGAGTGAGACGTCGGAGACGAAAATAATCGAACGACACGAGGAGAGTACGAGCGCTAACCAGCGCGATGGCCTTCGCGATTCGAAGTATTCGACGTGGGAGTCGAAGCGTGAAGAGAGGTGCGAGGAAAAGCACGAGGAAGAAACGCGCAGCTCATCCCGAGAAAGCGATACGAGGAATTTGTCCGACGACGAAGTGAGCTTTCAAAGAACGGACGTCCCAGTGAGCGAGAGTCCCTCGCTCGAAGATGAGTTAATCGATGTTCAAGGACATGACTCGTCCAGCAGCACCACATCCTTGAACACCGTAAAGCATCGTCCGTTGGAAGCGTCGTTGACCGATATTACCGCGATTGTCCGCGAGACGAGGGAGGAGAACTTGAAAGACGAAGTGGGAGAATCCCTGAAGCGGAAGCTCACCTTGCTGAAAAACACGGAAAGATTCGTAAATGAGACGACGCCGAGAGAGAATTCGAAATCGCCTCAGCTGGTCCCTTATTCGCCTGTAGAGGATCTTTATCATGTGCCATTGAAGAAAACGGTCTCAGAAATTCCTGAGATAGCCACGAAAGACGTGTCGCGACAACCACCTTCTCTCAGGAAGCTCTGCGTTGAGAGGATTCTGTCGATGCCGTATGGACCGCAAGTGATAGGCGAGATCACTACGCCAAAGTTCAACATCTTCGAGAGTTTGCGGACTCTACAGAGGTTTGTGAGTGACGCGCCGGCGCATCCACACGATAACGCTCGACTAAACTCAATGCATGAAGTGAGTGATCGACGGCACGGACTAACGAAAACGTCGGACGAGAGCGAGCGGCATCGTCCTAACGACATTACGAACGCTGTTTCAGACCAGGCCAAGTTGCCGAAAGGCATTAATATTGAGTTGTCAGAGTCGGAGAACGAGATGGAGAACCGGGAACCACGGTGGCGTGCGCTCACTACAATGGACCCCAAGCTTCTGGTATGCCTGTCGCCGTCGCAACAGGCCACGCAGGTGCGCACGAGTGCCGATACCCTGCTGGATCTTCACCGAAAGTTCCTAAACCGGTACAGTTACCGCGAGGAACAGCCACATTACGTTCCTCTGCCGCAGTACCGAGTTGAGATCCATCCGATCAAAGAGGACAACAACGCGATTTCGAAAACACCTAAGCCGACTACTCGAGCGAATCATCGAGACAGCACGATCGAGAGTTCTAGCAGCAGGCTGCTGGAAATCATCAAGGAAGAACGAAACGGTCCTCGAAACGATACACTCGCGGATCAGCAGACGAAGACGATAACCGATGACGCCATTGGCGACTCTTTTGGGCGCAGGGGTCAAGAATGTTTCAAGGCCGAGCCTCGGCCGAGCGACTGGTTGAATCTAGCCAGACACGATCGCCGAAACGCCACCGCGAACGAGCTATTCTTGGCGGCAACGAGGGGCGACAAGGATGGCGAATCGAGCGACGATAAGCCGAATGGTCACGTGGTCCAGTCTGATCGGCTTAAGATTGCGACACGTTCCGCCGCCCAAGCTGGATATCGATCGTCGACGAACAACAACGCGATAACTCGCGATTCAGAGAGATTCTTAGCGAATAACATTAAGTGTCCGATCGTGCTGAACGGTATCGTTACTGATCGATTGATGGATGCCACTGGCAAGAGGACGCCGCCTCTCAGGAAGACAACTGATCTTGGCAAGCACGTGAATCCGGCGTTGATCGACAACAAACTCGAGGTACCACCGTTGCCGAAGCGCGCGGTCACGGTTGACAGATCGTGCATCGATACGACGAGTATTTTTGATCAGAGTCCGCCGAGAAGTCGTCTGGAACCACGAAGAGGACACCATGAAGCGGAGAAACTGAAACACGTGGCCGCTGTGGAGATCATGGATAAACTGAAAGAGCTGCAGATGGAAACATCACGGCGGCTCGACGACGATCAGAAGGGCTCCTTACCTCAAGAATACTTCGCTCAGCAGCTGAGGTACATCGAGCTATTAGAAGATCAACTAAAAAACGTGATATTAGCGGAAGAGGAGGAAAGAAAGGCTTTCGAGGAATTTCAAACGCATTTTCATCGAACGAAACAATGTGACGACACGAGATCGTCTCTCGCTGATATTCCCGAAGGAACCTCGAAAAAAATCAGCATAAATCTCGAACGTGAACGTAAAATTCCGATCGATGTCCATGGGATGACAGACGGAAAATGTGGGGAAGATAAGCGAGCGGAACCTCGAGGTCTCGAGGAGAAATGCTTCAAAGAGATCTATCGAAGCGAGCCGAGAATTCAAAAAGAATCTTGGCAAGAGAAGTCACGGAATATAGAAAAGAATCGTACAGAGACGATCGATAAAGTAGGCAATCGGCAGTTTCTGAAAAAGGTATATCATGAGAACGGGCATCACGAGGAGAAATCCTCAAAAAGTATTAAACATGAGGAACGCCATGTGATCACGCAGAAGGAAAACTTGGCGAGAACGGAGGAAAATGGTACGTTTAAGTCTCGCGAGGACGAAGTTAACGATCGTTGCACGAAAACGCGGTCGACAGGGACACCGAGAAACGACTCTGAGGTGTTCGCTGAAAAGATGACTCAGCATAAGAACGTTGAAGTGAGGAGACCGACGACATTACCAACGAACGGGGAGGCATTTCGCCAGCGAATGTACGACGAGTACGTGCACAAGGTGTTAGAGCGGCAGGAGCGGAAGAGTCACAAAGTCGTGAAGATCAGCTCGCACGAAGACATCAAGCGCAAAGCGGATGGTGACATGAGTGCGATGGCAAAGGAATTCATCGAGAAGGCACGCAGTAGGCTGAACAAGTTCGGGATCAATCTCGACGAGAGCGGGACGGAGCACGAGGATGAAGATGGCGATGCTCTGATCAACGCGAAATTCCTAATAGATGGCAAGGAGTTGCAGGACGTTCGGAAGCTGCCGAAACATCTGCGGGAATTTTTGAAGATCTCCACGATGAGCGACGACGAGGGCGGTGAGTTACGGCGATTGGAATGGACGATGGAGTTTGCTGTGTTGCTCGTCGTGTTGCGATGATGATTGGTGCCGTGCCGATTGGTGGTTGCTGAGAAAGAGGGTCCCGCCCGGAAGTCAAACAAATCCGTCCTGAACTCTCGAATGTCTCGCCAAGGGACGCCTTTTAACAATCACTAACGTAACGTGCGCATCTTGTCCGACGTTCGTAGAAGCCTTAGTGTTTGTCGTCACTAACGTTCTTGGTATTATGCTAATTCTTTTTATCTGTTCGCCTGGTGCCAACAATACATGAAAGGACTGTTGGACAAAAAATGCAGGAAGGATAAATAATTAATCTTTTATTAAAATGTTTATCCGGCGCAATGTCCCTTTTACAAACTCGTTTTAATAAATGTGATTTAAAGAGACTGAATGCAACGATATAAAATTTCACGTAATAAAACGCGATAAAGTAATATTCATGTTGCAATTGATTGAAATAATTGAAATATTTTTTTGGAATATCACAAATTTCTCATCTTCAATTTCGTACAAATAAAACCGTATTGTAAAATTTAAAACATCGGGACTCTTGATTGAAATTATTGAAAAGCGAAAAATTGGGGATTTCTCCAATGAATGTCATCGTTCTCGTCGGATCGCCTCAGCTATCACATCGTAGGCGAACTTTCTTAATATGGGAGACAAGCGGTAACGTCGAAACGGAAATCTCATTACAGTCTTGAGTACTGTTTTCCTGCACAGCTCCGGAGGCAAAATTAGTTCTCTCGGCAAAGCGGAAGCGCGTCGATCTATTTACGTTGGTGCAGGTCGTGCAGCATCATAATCACACAGTCCAGATTGCTCCAATTCCGTAATCCGATTAATAACTCGTCTCGCAACGATACGATCAGTCTTGTACAAATAATGAATCTCATTGTATCGTGAAACGCGCGAGTTAACGTGATATTGTAACAAATATGCGTGTTTACGTACTTTCCTCTCATTGCCAGCTCTCTGCCTAACGTGCCGTGGTATCGGATACCCCTGCAGCGGGATTTAATATTCCACGACATAAATCCGGCACGCAATCGACACGCGTGCTGCTCGTATATTTTGACATTTATTTTGAGACGGTGATCGATTCGTCAAAGCGACGCTATGGAAAATTATTGCGTTAACATTCGTGTTCGCGACGCTGCGACAGCGTAGCGGATAATGAACCGCGACAGTTTGCGATAACGGATATCAACGTGGAGATACAGAGGCTATCAAATTGCGTCATGTCGTTCACGCGTCGACTCCCTGGAGCCGATTATAGTCGCAGAATCTTTAATTTTGTCATCGTTATACCGGGTAATTCAAAGAGATCTCTCTTTCCTTGAGATAAGTTGACAATGCAATTGATTGTCTTTAAAATGTACTCTAAAAATTCTTTCGAGTGGAATCTCACTCTAATATGTGAAAATTCTGCCATTCTTTTTCAAGAATGAATTTTCAATCTTTAAGAGTGAGATTTTAGTCTTTAGAATGAGAATTCCGCTGTGAAGAATTTAGAGAAAAGCTCCCACAAAATTCTATTTGACACGATGCGTTTTCTATCGCTACGACGTTGTCATTTAGATGGTGCCACGTCTGATGATGGTAGAGTACTGGCCTGCCTGCCTGTTTACTCTTTCCTTCATCTCGCGATCGTCGGACCGCGGCGTTTCGTGTGTGATTCATTTGGAGGATGGGAATCTAAATATAAAGACACCGCGACGAGAAATAGGCCAGTCGCCGTAGTCATAGGACGCGTTCGCCATTTCGGCCAGCGCGCCGGAACCACCGTCTTGTTTTCAGCTATTTTCAATCACGCGACGTGGCCTACTGGCCCGCTGGTCCGCACATCCTTTCGTGGAGACTGAGAATTTTTCTCTGTTAAATTGTTTATATACATATTATACTCTATCTACAATTAAAATACTCGATGATGATATTTTGAAGCTCGCCATAATAATAGGATATAATCCACAGAACTTCTCTCTTAACATTTAAGCGAATATTTTTAGTATCCTTTGTTTTTAAGAGCTTTAAAATTTTTCATTTTGTCAAAAGCTTCCATTGTGATGATATAATTAATGTAAATGAAGATTCTCTCATTTGTTTTGATAGATCAATCATCTTCGCATCTCATCTAAAATCGCTTTTTTCACCACGTATTGTTGCATGCTCGCTTTTTTTAATCTTTCAGCCCACTTGTTTGCTGACAGTACACGTACATGTTATGAATATATTACAATAGGTACGGCACGAGTGCACGTTTTGTTCAAATATTTTTACGCCAATCAATCCTCTTGCAGAGAGAACAAAAACATATGGAAAACGGCGATGTTAGACGTATTAGTCGATATTTGACAAAAGTCGTTTATCCGTGCAACAATGTTAATTTTTATTGACACATTGCCAAAGCGTGCGGACATTCGTTTGTCTATTACTATTAACTCACTGTGGTTATTTGTATTTCGTAAGTCTCGTGAACTTTTCGAAGGCGGTTACCGAAGCGCCTGTTTATTTTCTATTCTAACTTTAGCACGAAAGTTTAGCCACAGCGTGCGTTCCGTCGAGACTAAATGTGCGAATTTAGGCATCCGTCTGTGGATACAAGATTATTTGTATTCATCGTTTCAATACATCAATTTTTTTTTTTTTTTTTTATAAACGACTGACGTGTATTTAAAAATCTTGCACTAAAGAATTTCTTTGTCGTTCAGTTCTGGCTTACGACTTGCTAACAAGTTCACGGCGCGCTGCTCGAAATTAATTTTATTGCATCTCTTTATTTTTTTTTCTTTTTGGTGGATATGGGCATATGCTTTGTTAATCAAAGGGAGCGGCTGTGATGTCATTGCGAAGAGAAGAGTCAGGAATGAAAGTGATCTGCTGCACGAGATCGACAAAGCTTTAAGAATCGGCAGGGGATTTCTACTTGGGCAAGGTGCGTTTGTAATTTTGCTTAATCACGCATGTGTTACATAATCAAAAAATATCACTATTGAATGCTTTGTGATATTATTTGCAAAAAAATATTAATACTGAAAAATTGAAATGTCCCGGATGAATTATAGAATTAAGTCTTTTCTATGGCTGAACTAGTATACACTTTTGAGACTTAAAAAAAGTGAGACAGGTACATGTTTTATATTTGGTCAAAGCGAGAAAGAGAGTTTTAGTGCAGGCTAATGCAAGGATAAAAAACAAATTTATCATATGAAATTTTGAACATCATTTATTTTACTTTAATGTTACTTTGTTTTAACGTCAGATTGAAGATTGAGAGAATTCAGATCTATCTTCCAAGCAAACGTATACACACGTATATAGCTCGGCTTGTTGGCAGTGGATTCAAGATTTCGTGTAGAGTAGCCTCGAACGACGTCGTCATCGACGTCGGCGTAGTGAGCGTCGCGCGGCGTGGCGTCGAGCCTCATCGGCGCGGCGTCGCGACGCTTCAGTCGGCTGGCACCTACCGTGCTACTTTCCCGTGTCTCGCCGAGAAGAGTGTCCCATTGAGATACGCGGTGCCGCGTCGAATAAAAAAAGAGGTCGTCGAAATCGTAAAGTGATGTTGGAGAAAAGTGAGTGATCATTTCGGAAAAGTTGACGCATTATCGAAGGATAGCGAGGGATGAAGGCATGATAGGTGTTCGTAAATTTCTTCAACAGGTAGTTCCGCGGTCGTGAGGAAGCTCGGAACTCGCATCTTTCTGAAGGAAATCCTCAGAAAAGGATTACGAGTGTTTTTCAAATTATTGCCTTTCAAATCAGCGAGAAAATTCGTAAGAAAATATAAAGATGTTAAATTGGCAAAAATGACGAAGATAATTGACGCGACAGGAATTAATTTTATGTTAAAATATATTGAAGGAATTTCACAAACAAATAGAGTAATTCGACAAATCCTGATTTTAATATTCGTAAGTTATACGAACAGTTTTCGAAATGCATCATGGCGCTGGTATACTCTTAGTCTGCTGTGGAATAAAGCAGTCTACTTGGTTTTATTCTTCCCTTTGCGCTCGTTTCGCGGCATTCCATCAAGATCGCTTTTATATTAATGAATCGTGGTGGTTTCATCGTGAAAGTAACTTTGAAGAGCTCTCCAGATGATATTGAACGCGGAGTGTAATATAAGTCTTACATCGCACAGTGTTGACTTGCGATAAGCATCAAGATATTCCGCGTTGATAGTTAATGATTTAGATTAAAAAAAACTGTCACAGACGTACGAATTAATTACGACGAGAAATCGTGAGATACATGAAAAGAAATTCATTCAAAAATTCGTCGTTAAAAATAATACGATTTACGAAATGGCGAGAACCCGAGACATTTTGTTTGACAAAATGTTGTTTAATGCTTTCAGAAAACGTTATGTTCGCCCCCACGTTTAAAGCCTCGTCGGCGAAACCAGGTAAACCTGCGCGAGGAATGTGTGAAGAAAACTAACAGAATAATTTCGTCGTGCATCTTGCATAATGACTGAAGATGCAATCTGAAATATTAATATCCAACGTTGCGCCTTCTCGAGTAACTACAAGAATATTTGTCTATTAACATTTTTAATAGAACTTTCGGTAATTAATTAATTAACTTTTCGAATATACTGGAGCCAGTGTAATTGGATGATGAACGACGCGATAAGAGAAATGGAATTGCCATCGGGAGAGTGTGCTTTTATTACGTTAACCAACGTTCGTTTCGAAGATGTAATAAAATTAATTACGTGTAGATCGTATTGTGTGGGGCCACGTGTGTTCTTAGCAACGAGATTGTAATTAAGTCCCTGCCACACATACGCGTGTGCGTTTCTCCGTGCATTTCCCCGTGTAATCTCGTTTAGTAATTTATCCAGGAAGGAAGGGGCATTAATTTCGGTTACCTGAGGACGTCGTCTTTACAGTATCGGTGTTTCGACTAATCACCATTACCACGGTTGTTAGTTGCGAATAGCGTGTGCATGTCGGTACACGATCCAAAAACGATGGCAATTCTATGTTTTTGACGTTTCGAACGCTGGATGCAGCTGGCGTCGCGACAGCGTTGATTAATCGCACGTACGTTGCAATTAGTGAAAATGTATAGCCGTTATTGTCGTACATAGATTGTAACGTGTGTAACATCAATTATTGTATAGTAAGTGAAAATCAGCAAAGAAATGTTCAAGAAGATACCATATCCGTTTAAAGTGAATCTTGGTGCCTAATAATATTTTTATATGTAAATCTTAGTTTCCAGTTTGACTTAATTATCACACCTCCGGTTAGAGACACAATTGTCATCTCTCAATGACCATATCGTTTCAGAAAAAATTAAGAACAAAGCTGAATATTTAGGGATTTATTCCTAAATATTTTCAAGGTAGTTTGTGACTGTCAGAAGTCTGTTTGAATTTCTGAAATTTTCGCGCAGTATATCTGAAATAATTCCCAAGTTAAGCACAAGTTATCATAATATCAAAACGATGTCAAAATAGGTGCAAATTTTATTGTTAAAAGTCACTTTTCAGTCAATCAAGACTTATTTTGATGTTACTGCGACTTTGTTGTTCTGTTTGGGCTAATATTGTTCTTGCACGAAATTAAAATTGTCGGTAATTTCCATAAAAATTCGCTCATTCCAAGTATATTATACTTGGAATGTTAATTAGAAAGGAATTTTCCGTAATATTAGACAAAATTGAGTTTTTGAAAAAACTAAATAAATATAAAGAATCTGAACTAAAAGACTCTGTCCTTTATAATAAAGGACATATGGCCACTGCAGTTACCTCGGCAGTCATGCATGTTGAAGGTTGTTTGAGACAAAATTTCTAACGACTCGATCAGAAATTTATGTTTCCCCAGATATTTGTGTTTCTCCCAATTTCCTTATCTCCGCATTCAATTCCGGACTCTTCAACCCGAATTCATATTCATCGAATGCGTAACGTTTCGCTAACGTGTCGCTCCAGAAAACGCGTCGCCGCGGCATTGTGTTCAGGTTGTTCCCGGCCAATTGCAATTATGCGTATCTCATAATACCTAACGCCGCCCACGCGAGCTTCTAATTTTATCAGCGTCCCAAATGAACTACCCCTGATTTCCTGTTGCCGCACGACCGCGAGAGGTATGGTTCTGCAAATTGGCCGAGAGGTTCAATTCCGACTGGCATATGTGCCTGATTCACCGTAGCGACGGTGTATCTTTATCGTGCTCGTAACGTTGTCTTCCCCATCTGACATTCAAGCGTCGTCACCCGTCAATAACTTTGTTTATGTCACCGACGCGACGTTGCGACATGACATTTGTTCTTATTTGGACCGCGGTAACGAGTTAATAAAACCTTTGTTTATCCGGCCGTTAAGAAATATTACTCCGAAACGGCGTGCAAGTCTTTAAAAATATCTTCCTGCGATTTTATTTCTTTCCAGAGTGTTTACGCGATTAATATAAACGATAGGATTATCGGATCGTTTACGTCAAAGAACCGTTTTTAAAACGGATCGAATTAGTAATAGGCAGTGACGTGGCAAAATGAGGAAGTAGTAGGGAAAAAGATGATCCCTTATGTAATGCTCCCCCGTGTGCCAAGATTAGCATCGCGCTCGTATACATTTCATATGTTAGCTTTAGCGCCAATCCACCAAATCCATACAGCGTAGCTGTTGCAGGAGCAAAGACCTTTTGGCGAGTTTGTTCCTTTACTGGCAGTCTTTTTTTAATTAGCTCCTATATCAAGAACTAATATATTGAATTATAACACAAATTTAAAAATGATAAAAGCAGGGTTCATTTATAGGAAGTAATCGATCGGCTTGGCTATCTTTTTTAATAAGACTGTTGTTAGTCCATCTGACGATAACCAAATTTGCCTGACAATGAGTGTTGATTAACAAAAGTCTCGTGGATATGCCGTATCAATTACATTCTTAAAAGTGAATTTTCGTTGCCAGGCGTTTGGTCGCCAGGACAAACGCCAGCTGAGAAGGCACCGAGTCCCGAACGAAGGAAAGAACTACAGAAGAAGAACGAGCCGATCCCATCGGTTTGGACCCCCGCCAGCGCCGGCGCGAGTCCTGTCGCTGAGAGGAAGGAATTTCGTCCTGTGTCATTCGAGAGTCCTGTACTAAGCCGGAAGAGGCAGCCGAAGGAAGAAGTATGTCAGCCAATTATATCGAGACGTTAGCTACAATTATCTGGCGTAAAAATTAAATTCGTGATTGATTAAATCATTAACTCTTTGTAGGCGTGCTTGTTTGAACACATCTTTTATTTTGTAAACTGCTCATTCGAGTGTCATGAAACTCGATCTAGGATAATTTGATAATGCTTTATTTGATTTTGCGATCAAAAATAAATTTAAAATGGTAGATTCAATATAGTGGATATAATGTAAAAATAATCTGATTATTATAAATATCCTCATAATAATAATAATTTGATAATGCTTTATTTGATTTTTAAGTAAAAAACATTAAAAATGTGATAGATTCAATACGATGAATACACAAAATTTCCAAAACAATCTGATTATCACATAAAATATATTTTAGAGAATTTTTAATTACGAAGTAATATCAAGTTTTGAATTTCACTTTATTTGAAGCTCATCAGTGTGCTATGCAAACAGTTAGTGCTGATTTTCAAATTAACTTCCAAACTCTGAATCCTATGATATACTAGATCCTCTTTCATTGGAAGTTACTCTTTTGAAATTCGAGATTTTCAGGCTACATTTAAACTCAGCGATATCAAGAATCTCCTAAAATCGAGTTTCGTGATAATCTTGAATTTTAGAATTTTGAGGCCAGAATCGAATTCAGCATCTTGTCTTAAAAAACAAGGTTTCTTATAAGTTTCTTTGCATCTTCAAAAGGTTAAGTTTGGCGAACAAACTTAGAAGAAAATCCAATTCGGACAATTCTTTAGTAAATACAGTAATAAAAATTCCCTTGACAAAGGAAAGAACGGAAAGCTGTAATATATATGATCGCTTTATTCGAATCATCTTCTCGCATCGATGATAAAAAGTTCAAGGATGCGCACTCTTACACGAGATTCTGTTCAAGGAGGCGCTTCCGCCCTGGGAAGGTGAGGAGGAGAGCGGCATCTCGCGAATTGTGAATTCGCATTCGGCACCCTCCCAGGGGTTGAACACCCTCGCGTCTACGCCGCGATTGCCACGTGCCCAGAATCCGACCATCACATTGCTGCAGAAAGCGCGAGGTCAGCACCCATTATAAGAATCCTTCTGCTTATCGGAGGCAGAATGAATGAGAATATCAAAGATTTGCGGAATTACATTTTTTCTTCTTCGTTACACTAAACTACCATTGCGATTTTATTGTAGAGGGACAATTGCCGAAAGGCGCAGCTTACTTGGAGGAAAGCGATAATCGGCCAGTGAACGACGAAAGGCCGCTAATCTCTCCGGGAGAGATAAGTAAGTATCGATCAGTTATGAGCCAACTAGTCGAACGTTATAGCATTATGATTATTATATTATGGTTGGTTAATTTTTATATGAAAGCCGCCCAATATAAACGTACCAATATAAACGATTTTCGAAAATCCGTTTATGTTTCTTATTATCACTAACGTTTGTCGCTAACTAGCTGTGTCTAATTACTATATGTGTCGACCTATTTTCTGATTGCGTACGCGAGTGCTAATGATTTATTGTGAAATTGAATCGTTCAGTCTACACGTTGAAGAAAGAATACGAAAGCGAGCCGGAAACGGAGAATGAACTACCGAAGAAGATGGCCGATCTGGGCCCTCGAAAATTCGAGGGAATCGGACCGGTGACTAGGGAAGGTATCCCTCTCGTGTTAAGATCGGTAGGTCGTTAATTATTAAGTAAACTAAAAGTATAAATTTTCTAATCGGTGCGATGAACGCTTGACAAGCAGTTATGTAAGAAAGAAATGATTTATATCGCCATTTTTAATCACGTTATAAACGAGTAATTATTTTACGTCGTGCGATGCACTTTCTTAATACTATCTCGATAAATTACTTCTAGGAAGTCAAGGAAAGCAATCAAGCGAAATGGTACAAGAAAATGTATGACTCGTTGCACCGCGCTGATAGAAACGGTAAGTTTTGTAATTACAATGTGATTATTAAATAAATAAAATTTTACTTGAGAGATACAAATAATTATTTACGTATTTTTGTTATGTTGAACATACAATACTAAATTAATATCATTATTATTTACGAGCTAAATAAGGAATTTAATATCGTTCCGATAAATACGCGCGTTTGGAATAATAACATTAGTCGGTGAACGGGCAATTCGCATATAATTCCATAATTTTGTTTCCAGATGACTACGTAACCATAAAATACAAATCAAGAAGAGGTGAATATACAACTACCGCGCATGACTGCTGCGGTGGTCGAATTGCGACATTTGTTACTAATATTACGCCGTGCGTGGGTGCGCTGCGTAACGCAGTCACTCTAGCCATGATTTGTGTAACAACAACGTAACTAATATCTGTAAAATAAAGCGCGGTGGAGAGATAATCTCCAGTCGTGTAGCAAAAATGTATCGCGTCAGGGTGCTATTTTCCGTATATCGGCAACTGATGTATGGCCTTCTGCGTAACGCAAGATAACAATTGTCGCTGTACATATACTCGCCGTTTAACAGCTACGTTAGTCGAGCGTGAAAAACAATAATAAACAATTTGCAACAGATACATAAATGACTACCTTGCGCCTACCTTATCTAACATCCGGCTGATAATTAACACCTGCCTCTCCCCGGCGGGACTCTCGTTCTCTAGATTAACATCGTGGTTAATTCGATTAATCGTGTACCATTAATGTGTGTTTTAACTTATGATTACTTGGTTTACACAGACCGTATTGAACATTTTAGAATTTGGAGATCCCGACGGTACGGGATCTCTCATCGAATATATCAAACCAAGTCGGGACAACTTTTCGAGTTAGCGTAAGTTCTTCTTTGCTGTCGCGGGGGAACTTCTTCAGTTGATTTGAAGTTCTCACGTCTGATCTTTTGCGACTTTCGTCTTTAGATTATTTCGCGCCAATTCGATTTTCTTGCGGAAAAAATTTAATCCCAAATTTAATTTAAAAAACTCTGCTTACAGGAAAAATTTAAAATTTCGATTAAAATTTAAATTGAACTGAGAGGTTTTAATTTTGATGCCGAAGATCTCACGATGATTAATTCTTGAATAATGTGTATACTAATGTTACGTAACACGGTATGTGTGTATTGCGTGTGCGTATGTGTTTTCGTAATTTGATATTTCTATTATAACGTCGTAGGAACTAAACCATTCGTAAACATCGAATTGTTTGCGCTCTTAATTGAACGTTATTTGGTTACCGGTAGATTTTTTTTGCTGGAACTAAACGGGAACCCGCGAATAGGAACCCGGCTGCAAACAAAATGCGAAAAACGAAACATTCTTGTTTCAGGAGGGAGATATGGATACGGAAGCGGCAGCGGATATTTGAGTGAACCGGAACCGCGTGCATACTCGGATCGATCCGTTACTCTCGATAGCCGTCGACGGCTGCGCAACAAAGAAAATGACTTCACCACGGCGACTATGCCCAGAAAGTAAGTGAGAATTTGGAAAAATGTTTCGCTTGTTTTTCCCAGCAGTTTGCGAGGATGCCTCGAACCGTTGAAATTTCCTTCATGCATCCTCCATTTTTATCTCTCGATCAAATTTTATTGACAGATGGAACAGATCGTTTCTCAAACAACTGGCATGTAAAATATATAGCTCTTTAAGAGATTTATCGATAACGGGACGTTTCACATTCTGTTCTAGAAATGGAGCGCTGAAATACTCGACAGAGATTTATAAAAATCAACCTGGCCGCATCGAGGACTATGAACCAGGACACTCGTCGATCGCCGAGAAGGAAGCTAAAGAGGTACGGCGTATCGTTTTATCGTCCGTAACTCGAAAGTAGACAGACCTGCCTGTAATATAAATTAAAGCGCACTTTCCCATAACATCGAAAAGATTCGGTCATACGACACCGTGTAGAAATTATTAGCTCGTCCGAAGAGTAACGATTGATGGGACAATCGAATCTTCTAACGACGGCAATATTTCGCATTGATAGTCCCCGTTAAGTAATCTTAATTAAGTATAATGTAGAAATATGTGTATATATATAATACTCAGTATGGATTTCCATCTGAAAGATCTGAGTATGTATCACGCAAATTTTTAGAAAATTCGATATTAAAGTACAGAATTCGACGTCATAAAAATAATATGTAGCATCTAGATGTCAGTGAGCCAAATCCGAAAGGACAATCTCTGGTCCGCTTGTTACAAACTATAGCTAGACCGACCCAGTCACGTTTTGGAGATTTATGAGATGTCCGTCACGTATGTGTGTGTATATTTGCGGTTATTGTAAAACTTTGTACGTCCAACCTTTTGGCCCATTGGCACCCGAATATTACATACTATTTTTACGACGTCAAACTTTGTATCTTAATATCAAATTTTTCAAAATCCATGTGACATATATCTGAAATCTCTCCTTGTTAGATACAAGAGATAGATAAATGGAGAAGGCAAAATTTAGCTGACCACGATTGATACTAACGTTGGAGTGAGCGCACGAACGCGAGCTTAAGATTGGCCATCTATCTCTCCGTCAGAGTGTCATATATCGTTATACATTGCGAAATTGATCGAACGTGCAGTATATCATTTTGTATCGTGTGACATCATGCCATATTTCGTGCGAGAGTGGCAGTAGAAATTCGTGTAGACATCTCGCTTCCTTTTTGTTATTTTCTTATCGCGACGAACGCGACGCGGCGCGATCGCGATTTCTCTGAAAGATTCCCAAGATTACCTGAACACACACCTGGAACATGATCGTTTGAAATGGCTTTGCTTCTAGCCAACTTACGACGCGCGGACAAGAAGGAAGGTAATCACGCCAATCGAACGTGTTAAATAAAACGAGTTGCTTTTGCCGGCCAACTTATACGTTTCCTCCGTTTATTGAGAGCTTTTCTGTTTGGCGATCACGAGTTAATTGATTGCGAGCTCTTGCTCTCTCCGCCCTTGTGGTGGTTATTGCGTTTTTTTAACATACACACATACACACAGCGCAGACACAGTTCTCAGTTGGTATACACCAAGCACGCACGTATGTTCAGAGCGCGCAGAGTCCCCCGAGAGAGCAATTACTAAAAATAATGGTGATTACGTACATAAATTTTTATTATTCCTCGAGTGAAGAGAATCGCATTCTTCAGGGTGCTCTGCGGCTCCACGTAGTACAATCCCCCATTGATTTTTACACAGCTTTTGTAGCGCTGCTTGTAGTTGGTCCTATGTTTACATTTTATGTCGACTTCCATCTAAAATTGAGATGTGAACGAACTCTACTAAATTTTTCTATTTAATTCTGTTTAATTATTCAATTAGTAATTTTTACCTTCAATTTTATATTTTAGTTGTAATTTATATAATTGTTAATTTATTTTAGGAAAATTCGTAATTTAGCTTTTCTCTTTGGTGTAATTATTTAACGGTAGATTATCCAACGTCTTCTCTTATTTTAGATGGAAAATGGCAAGAATATCCGGATATTCGTTTATTTCTTTTTTATTTGAATCTAAATGTTTCAGTAACCTTTTTAGATAGCGCCTAGTATAACACTGTGTTTAATTCTGTGATTCTAGTGGTGGGACGAGGTCATGGACATATTTGACGGGGTACGCCATTTTTATATTAATGCATAGTTAAATAAGAATTCTCTCCGTTTCTCTATTCCTTCTACTCTTTCCTCGGTCTATCTATTGGTACTCTTTCTTCCGCGTAGATAGTAAGACTGAATTAAAATTAACATTTTCCATTACTTCGGAATTAACCTGGTAGCTCATCGCCTTGAGGGATCTTGTAGAATTACTATGTTGTCACATAAATCTTCTTTTCCTTCTCTCGTAGAATTTTGTCGTAAAATCAGAATTACGAATAAGGAGCTGCCATCTCTAAAATAAATTTCAATTTCTCTCGTGAACGAATCGGCGTCTTTTAATGTGATTATTGCATTTCAAAATGTGTATTTCGAATCCAATCTTCGTGTGATATACGCTGTTTGTAAAGTTAGTCAATAAAAACAGCGATCAGCGATTTTTCTCGTGCAACTTATTGTTAACGTCAAACGCGATAACTGAAGGCAGCTTATTGCGCTCCGATAATCGATGTCCGTACACCCGACCGGGCGCACGCAATTCTTCTGCCTCATGAGGATTTCCTCGATATTACTTAAAGTACCATAAATCTTTCGATAATGATAATTAAATCGAAGGATTTATACGGAGAAATATTACCGAGTGCAAAGAATTTTATCGATACGAACGTCGCGTATACGATGATCCATGTCTTAACTTATGCACAGTATGTCGTTTTACCAATTGCACCTAATGTCTTCCGTCTTGAATTCCTGTCCTATGAATCGTCGAATCGTCCCGGATCCCGATCATCGTTCGCTCGAGATGATCGTGACCGATGTCCCCGATGATCGTGTGTGTGCGTGTGCGTGCTCGTCGATGTTTTGCGTGTCGTACCCGCTCGTATGCCATCCCACACCGCTATCCACTTCCTTCTAACGACGACAACGACGACGACGATGACGACCACGGGTGACAGTGGCTGAACGAAAACGGACATCCTCAGCACGCTAGGATGGAGTCTCTGGGCGATGGCGTCCGGCAGTCCCGCGTCCTCAGCCTTTCCTACCGGCCGGAGGACAGTGTAAGGATACCGGCAATCAGCAGCACGAAAAGCTCCGAGTTCATTGGCGGCATAAGGCGGGCGCGTCCGGTGGCACCGGAAGGTACGACCGATCGGTCGATCGATCTATCCTGCAAGTCGCGCACGCACCGGTCCAGAACTCCGATCCAAGATCGGTCTAAGTCGTCCTTGATCCTACCGGTCGAGTCTACTGATCGGTCGAACGATCGTTCAACTGCCGCCGGTGACAATGCCAAAGACGGTCGCATCATCCGACCTCTGGAACGCGCCCCCGCTGATCCCTGCTATTGGCACGCTGCCGGCAGCATGCTGGATGGAAGATCCAAGAGCTTCGTGTTGCCGGATCGTTGCCCGGCACGTCGATCGCATCCGGTCGGGATCGAGCGATCAGCAGTATCGCCGCTTCCGGCCGTCGCCGCGATTGTGCCGTGCTCGATCAGCAATAACAGCATCCAGCAGCAACAACAGCAGCAACAGCAGCAGCAGCAGCAGCAGCAGCAACATCGTCATCATCATGGTCATCACCATCATCATCCCGAGCATCAATATCATCATCAACATCGCCACCATCAACAGTCCCACCATCAAAACCAAGAACAGCAGCGACTGCCGCTCTCTTCTTCTTCTACTTCTTCTTCTTTTTCCAGCACCGATCATATCATGCTACCACCATCACCGACAACACCCTCCGTTATCACCACGCAAGCCGTTTCACGGGTTAGAACGGCTGCCACATCGTCGACAAGTAGAGTGCACGATGACGTTGTCCTCTATCTGTCTATATATCTTTCTGCTGTCTCTCTTTCTCTATCTATCGAGTCATCTCTCTCATTTCCTTCTCTGCATTTTTGTCATGATTCTGTATCTCTCTCTTCATTCTTTATAGCCTGTTTCACACATTTTTATCTGTATCATTATACAACACTCTACTTGCCGAGAAGAAGTTATTAAGTCGGTATTTATAATCGATTCTTATATTTAAGACCGTCTTAAGTATAGCCTTAAGATGTTATCACAAAGCCGTATTAGCATCTCAAAATATTACTTAAGACGGTTTTGAATACATTGATGAACGGACTATGAATACTGATGATCTTCGATTTTAGCGCTTTCTCTGTACACATCGCGAAAAACAAACTTCAAAGACACTGGAAAATATTTTTTTAACATGATTCTGTATTTCTCTTTTTATTCCTTACACGCCTGTTTCACACATTTTTATCTATTACACAATATTTTACTTGAGAAGAAATTAAAAACGTGTTCTTAGCGCTTTCTCTATACACATTGCGAAACTTCAAAAACACTAGAAAATATATTTTTTTAACACATCACTCAATGCGGCATGAACGAAATATTTTACAGAACCGAATTATATGATCATTGAGGGGTATCAATTATTTTTAATTCTTGAGAATTAATAATTCATATGTTGACATAATTCTTTTTCTGGTTTACAAAATCGCTCACAAGTATATTTGCATCACAAGTGGCTATTGTCGATCCCCTCGTATCTTGATCTCCTACATACTTGTTTCCTCCTCTTGTATCTTTCATCCCCTTCGGATTATGTCTCATTAGCTTAATCCTGCCACGTTCCTCTTCATCCTGGCTTAGCATTACACGACTGCGGCATGATTTGCTCGATGTCCTGCTCGATGTGACTGCTCATGCCGATTAAAAACCACTCGTTCTCGAATCTCGAGTAATCGTATCTCTTGCGGCGTGCGACGTTTTATGTCAAGTAGCGTATACGTAGCATGTTTCGTATATATTATATAGATCGAGGACCGTCGACACAACGGACGGTAACAATAATGACGTTTCCCTCTTTTCCAGCCTTTCGATCAGCGCAGCAACGCACGTGCTGCGGCTAAGCCGTACATAACTCAGTAAGTACAATGTCAATTCCTGATCCCTTTAATTCCCTGTAATGAATCGAGCTATCATCCGACGGCGTCTCTCACCGGCGTTTCTCATTTGCGAAGTGCCCTCAAAGAGTCGGGCTACGAGAGCGACTCGACGCTGGTGTTCCGCCGACGAGAAGATATTAGTCCGCTCAGCCTTTTGGAGCAGAGACTAGCATACAAAACAGTGCAGAGCGGTGGTGACGTACCCCTCCATGGGCTTCGCAAGCCAGCTCCAGAACGTCCAAAGGGTGAGTCCCCTCAGCCGATCCTCGTGCTATATGCGTTTTAATCTTTCTTTTATTTCTTACTTTTTTCATACGTCTTAATTTGCTACAGTCAGCACGCTGAGCAACATCGGCCGTGTAACTCGAGTTTATTTTTGGCATGCGGGTGTGTGTCTTAAGGTGTTGCTTGCAATGTGTGTGCATTTTTATTAATTACCATTGTGTTTTGTCAATTACGCATGCGTCCCGAAACTTCGAGTGATGAGAAAAAGATTAGTTTTACATTGTTGGAAGATTATAAAATGTTAGTATTATATTTTTATTGCTAGCGAAATTGTTATAATTGATTTATAAATATTTTGAATTATTTATGATGGGGGAGATTAAAAAAGTATCCTCGATGTTTCGCAAAATTGAATGTGTCGACGAAAGTCGAGACGATTTTTTTTTTCTCTCAGAATATTTCAACTCTCGATGCTGATTTATGCTGAAAAGCGCGTGGCATGACGTGTGAGTAGTGCTCTGTTTGAAGCACATAGCTTTGATACGTATGAATTTTCTTTGTATGTGTAATCTCCCGAAGTGGTTGCATCAACGTCAGTTAACACTAATCGCGATTAATTAGGCTGGAGGAGAGGCTGCCGTGGAACAACGGATCCGTCCAAGTTTGTGCGACTATTGTGGTACTTGGCTGATAAACTTACCGGCCGACTCGACTCTCCGGTATCGATTAATTAATCAATCAACGATGCATCGGTGGCATCGTCGGTATTGATTAATTAATCAATCCACGACACCTCTCCATCAGCCTAAAACTTTCCTTCGTGGATATCGCGTCGTGGCCGAGGCTGCGATCTAGAAGGGACAGATAATCGATAATTGGAATTAGTCAACCAGTAGAATTGGTGCAACCTGACCTCGGGCGTTCTCACTTTAGTTTAAATTTGGCACAGCTCTTCTCTCGATAATCTATCGATATTGGTGCGCGATGGTTTTTTTTCGAAAAGCTCTTTTTGCAATCCTCTTTTTTACGTATAAGCACACCGCCAGCCGCAGTAACATCACGATGAGGAATGGCGAACCCTCGCATCGGCACGCTGTCGCACCGGCGAAGCTCGTCGCGTCCACCAGCTTAGCCTTGAGCAGGACAACCTTTAGACGACTGATTTTTGGGTGGCAGGGTGTAAGAGCGAAGGGCCTTCGATGGTACATCGAGAATCCGGATCAAATTCCAAAACTTTGTCCACAGACGACTCGGAGATCGAATATTTCCCGATCTCGCCAACTCTGACGAGGATCCGCGTGCATCGACGAAGCGCCTCGTGCACGTCAAGAATCACCTCGTCCACGACGGCATTCTCAACGTGGCATGAGTGGTCGATATTGTCCTCGATCGATACAAGATCCCCGCCGCAGGTCATGAGAGCTCCTCCTCCTCATAGCCTCTCATCGTCCGGTAAAGCTCTTTCGCAAGCTATGTCGGCGCCAAGGCCTCCTTCGCCGCCCCGAAGAAAATCATCACGCCATAGCAGAACCTTGAGAAAATTATATTCGGAGAATACGCGATTGATCGATAATTCGTACACCGCATATTCGAAACCTAGGCACGAACAGTGCTTCGCGCATGCTGATAGCGTATCGAACATCAGGTCTCTAAAGGAGAGATTCTGCAGCAATCTCGAGCGGCATCGACAAAGTCGCGAGCAGTTTCATAGCACAATCGTACGCACGTCCTCCAGCAGCCCGATTGCCTCGAAGACCACCAAGGTGTCTGCTTTGTTCTCCAACACCTTCGGTAAAAGAAAATCGGATCCCTGCTTGTCACAAACTCAATTTGAAGCAAAGAAGTTAAACCTGCCGTCAAGTAGTGCGAGAAATCACGTTTGTTCTTCAACGTCGCCGGCATCGAGAAGTATTCGCGAATCTTCAGTGAAGCTTGATAAACTCACAGCAGTAAAGGTACCATCCAGACACGCAATTTCTGTTGCCACTAAAGTAAGACAGAAATCTCCAGAGAGAATAAAATCGGAGCCTCTCTCAACTGCGAAGAGAGACAAACTTCGTTTGACGAAGAAAGAGCAAGAACAATCTTGTAGAAGGCTAAGCAGATCACAGGAACTTTCCTCACCAGTGGAAGTCAAGAAAGCTCTGCAGAAGCACAAAGAGAAAGAAACGAGGGACGTGCAGACCAAGATACTTTCGTCGGGCACTGTAGTAAAGAGCTCGACGAATAAACAAAAGCGTCCAGTGGATAAATCTCTCAAAGCTATTTCGCTCAAGGGACAGGAAGTATTACGAAAGACATCTGAACAGCGTCCTGAACAGCTTACGGCGACGAAAAGGACGTCAAGTGCCCAGCTAAAGTCTCCTGCGAAAAGTGCGTCATCACAGATCACTAAGACGGAGCCAAAGAAGACGAAGATCGTCGCGAGGCGGCCAGAAAAGCTGGTTGTTAGCAAAGAATCCTTGCGTTCGATGTCTTCGCCCTGTTCCGAAGCGATCAGTGAAGTGAGTAAGAGGAAACGACCTCGTGAGAAACCGCACACGATCGTCAAAACTCCGACAAGGAAGCCGGAGACAATACGCGTAACTGTGAACGGTGACAAGAAAAGGATGGATGCGAGGAGGAAAACACGGAGAGATAAGAGCGTTGATGAAGCGAACATGAGCAAGACTTTGAACGGGTGGAGAGAGATGGCCGAGAAGGATGAGATCAAGATACTGAGGAGAATAGAGAAGATAGCGCCGAGTATCGAGCAACATTCCAGGACCACCTGCTTGACTGTGGAGGAGATCAAGAAACATCAGGAAGCAACGCGCACGGACACTTTCTTCCAGAACCTTTTCTTACGGAATCATCCGTCGCTCGCACAATCTCACGAAGAGAACATGAAGAAGTCTCTCGTCAGCGAGCGTGCAAAAATGTTCCAGGACGGCGTGAGGGAAAGCTTCAGGTCGGAACCGTCTCTGAAGTCTTTGAACGTGTATTTGGCACACAAGCGTCTCGTCCAGGAGTTCAAGTCCGTATGGAGTCTGCTGGCCCGGCCGGTCGGTTTTTCAAAAGATTGGCAAGTTTGACAGCTTGTTGAGCATCGATGATTTTGGCTCGTCCACCACGTTGCGCGTTCGTAGTCCAGAATCTATGTCGCGAGAATACGTGAAGGAGCGAAGTTTAAGCGAGCCGCCATTGAAGACTCTGCCCGAGTCTAGAGAGCCTTCGCCAAGATCCTCTTCGCCATCTCCGGTAAGATCGCAGGCGTCTCGACGGACTCACATCTCCAAGCAGGAAGACTTAGACGCCCCACTGACGATTACGAAAAAAGTAAGAGCCAGAAGTGCCGGTGAGGCAGAGGACACCAAGAGGGGTTCGAATCTATCATTGACGAAGAGCACCGGTTCATTATCGTCTATGGATCGCGAGGATTATCAACAATATATACTCGAATTGTTGCACCACAGACGCAAATCGACACGATATAAAGATCTGCGCGACTTCTATACGAATCTTAGCAGAATGGATCAGTTGGAGCGTACGTTTTCCTCCGGAGATCTACGACCGCGGTTGAAAAACGAAGAAATCATCGATTATGATCGTTGGAAACGGGTTAGATCGAAGGAGAAGGCAGAACAGGAACTGAAGGCGCTTTATGGAAAACTAAGAAGCGTTCAACGTGACAAGGACTTTCTTTTCAGCGCGAAAGACATTGATAAATTTAGGTGGCACGGCGATTGTGGGCTGCGTTGCAAAGAACGCTCCGTGGAAGATATCTTGCAGTATTTTCGAAGACTTCAGAGCGAGGAAGGCGAACTGGACTTCTCCAAGAAAAAAGTTGTCATGCAGAAGGATACATATAAACCTCTCTGGCGTGGAAATTCGGTCGTGAACGTGGCGACTACGATGCAGAAGAAGGCGAATGTCAATTTTCGGGATACTAACAAATTCGCAGATTATCATCCATCGTTACAGAAAAGTCTCGGCGGCAGCAAGAAGTTCTGGAGCAGTTTGTCCATCGAGCAGGTAACCAATCTAAAGAAGCAACTAAACGAAATTTACGGTAGCGACAGTCCCCAAAAACGATCGAACGACGACGTTGTCGATGCACCTTGTGAAATTAGCGAGCAACCTGTTAAAGAAAATCCCATTGCTAAAGACGAAAATTTGACTAACTATGAAATTATTGTACCGCCTGAAGGCGATTCCCAGAATTATCCTCAAGACGATTCAAAGAGTCTCCACGTACGATGCCATTCAATGATAGCGACAAATGAGTCAATATTAAAAGAATCGAATGATGCCGAGAAAACCTTGAAGAAGAGCGATTCCATTGGGCGTTTGAAGAGCATTGAGAGATCAGAATCAGAGCAATCGATCTCGCCGTCGATGTCGGAGCTGGAGAAAAAGAGGCTGTCGTTGACTCTCGGTAAAGAAGTGTTGGATAGAATGATGCAAAAAAGACAATCCTCGCCCTTAGCACCTCGCGAAACTCGTGGTAGTATCGCTGCTGCCTTAGCGGCCAAAAAGATGCCGGCAAAACCATCTACAAAAAGTATCGTAAGACCTCCTTGTGCGCCCGACACGCCCAGTGTGGCCAGCACTTCCCCTAGGACCTGCTATTCCCTCGAAGCGCCATATGTTGAAGACACGACTAAATCGAAAGACAAGAGCGACTTCTTGCTGGTGTTGACGCCCAATAACGAGAGCCCGAGCGACAAGCAACGCGTGGAAACCGTGCTCGAAGAATGGTCGAAGAAACCTCCCTTGTTGGCCATGACAGTGCCAACTGAGAAAGCAAAATCGAGCAGCAAGTTTGCCTCGGGCAGCGATGGAGACAGCATGACGGAGAGTTCGGAGACCTCAGTGAGAACGGTGATCCAGCGGGGCAATGGACCCGAGACGGAGGACGTATCGCGAAAGATCGAGTTCTTCGAGAACGTGGAGAAAAGAACAGAACAGCAGAAGGAGATGGTGCCAATGACAACGGCGTCGACGACGACCACTACGACGTGGACGTTTCGCAGCAAGAAGAAGCTACCGTCGTCGCAGAGTTTCGCTGATCTGAAAGAGCTTTTTGGCGAGTCCGAATTAGCCAAGTATAGTTCGCTGGCCGGTACTGCCGGTAGGTTCGATCGATCGCGATCGACGTCGCCGCGGGAACGAAAGATCGACGGTAGCTCACCGACGCTGCCGGAAGTGATGAATACGCGACAACAACGACGGTCGTTCCGCTCCTGTTCACGAGAGCGTGAACATGACGCGAGGCCGTGCAGCGTCAGTCCGTGTCGCGCGACCACGCGATCGAACTCGTCCTGCAGCGTGGACAGTGGCAGCGGTTGGCCGCGCAGTTCGTCGCCGGATCCCGAGAGGTACTGGCGAGCCTATCTCAACCTGGTGCGGAACGGCACGGTGCGTAGGTTACGCGCGAGATTCGAGAGCGCCGAGGATCTGCCTCGACGCGTCAGGATCACCGCCGCGCCGAAGCGCTTTCGCAGTGATCCGGAATTGGCACGGAGCTTGTTGAAGAAGGCGAGCGAGGGAGAGGAACGTGGTAGTGCTCTGAAGCCTCACGAGCACGTCGACGTGGCATGGTTACGCAAGAAATTCGAGACGAAGAAGGGACGACCGCGAATAGGACGAAGGGGCGAGTCACCACCGATCCCGCGGATACCGTTGCGCCGGGAAAATCTCTCGATGCCGCACATCGATGTCATCAGCAAAACAGTCGAATTGAAGGAGCCCCAAGCTACCAGCACTGTTACCAATCACGTGACCAGACGAGCGGAGACCAAAGAACTCGAGGCGAAGAAACCGGTCTGCCGGATGCGGAAAAGATTCGAATCATTGGACACCGGTGGTGGCCGAACTTCCATAATGGGCGAGATGTTCACGTCGGCGCCGGATGTGCGTGAACTTCGTGACATCACGCCCTACTTGGCTGGGAAGTGGGTGGCGCACCGGTACCCCAGTCGGCGGGACAACATGCGCTCGTTGTCATCGCCGGCCGATCTCAGGATTCACCGGGGTACCTCGAAGACGCGTTCTTCCTCGGTTGACAAGAAGAAACCGGAACGTCCGCGTGCCACCTCCTCGTCACCGACGCGACCGCGAACGACGCCTGCATCGATCCTCAAACCGTCACAGCAGACTGTCTTCGCCGGACAACCCTTCGACCCTGACAAGCACAGACCGAGGTTCAGGTATCAACCACCGCCTCCGCCGCCTTCGCCCACCGCCATGCGAAAGCATAGAACCTGGTGGCCGACTCTGCCTGTCTACATGGCGCGACCTACCGTCACCTTCGAAGGTCTGAAATCTCGTCAGCCATTTGGAGCGTCTAGACTGGATTCAGTCTTCCTAGATTTCAAAAGCGGGAAGGAGGAGCCAGGAAATTTCTGGTGTTTTTAAAAATAAATCTAGACTTTTTTTGATTGATGAAAAAAGTAGAGTTTAAGTTCGTTAAATTGTGTGATTGAATTATGAAAAATTATTACCGCCTCTCGTGGCACCAATATCGTTAGATATTAGAGAAGAATGTCAAGTTGACCGACAGGTTCTCTCGGCAACGTGTGTACGATTTTTCGTTGAATCCCGCGAGTTGATTTTCATAGCTGGTAGAACGGCTAATTATTATTTTAATTTTTTTCCGCTCATTCATAGAATACTCGAATGCCCCCCCGCCGCCACCAAAATCCCAGCATTGCAGAGACGATCGCCAAGGTAATGCCGATTACAAAGCTCATTTTTATTATTATGTACATTTTATTCTTCTGTGTTCTGTGTGCGTCTGTCCGTTCATACGCGTGTCGCGGTCTTTACCGTGTGTTTCATGATATCTGACATACTGGCCCTCGTGGAAACTAAACATATTTAACCAACCGGACGGTTTTTTACCTGGAGATAATTTTGTTTGAAAACTAACTGCTAACATCTAAATAATTATAATAAAATGCTTTTATTCAATTCTACACTGAGAGGAAAATGTATTAAATTTTAATAAGTATTTGTTTGAATAATGCCAGTTAAATATTTACTAAATGTAACAAATATTTATTTGATACAAGAATCATCAATTTCATTTAACTACAATATTTTTTTTATTTAGCAAATATTTAGCAAATATTTTCTGTAAATAAATATTACATTAATACTATTCAAACAATTTATTTATTAAAATTTAGTATATTTTCTCTCAGTGTGTTCAAACATTTTTAATCTCAAATTTAGCAGAAGCAGAAAATAAAAGAGGAAGTATGTAAGTTTCTTCGAAATGCATACATCTTGCGTACGTGTCGTCGGGTTTAAGACTGATCGATTTAGAGCTATTAAAGTTCGGGCACGTAGTAGATGCGGGCACTTGCTAAATGCGCGTTGCGATAATGCATCGTGGTGCATGTGACTCGGGATGCATGAACGACGCGTGCTCGGGAAAGAGAAACGAACGTTTGCACGGGCGATCGAGCATGAGCGCAATAATCGTGCGGTTGGTCGGGAGCACTCCGGTGCTCATCCGGTTGATACATCGTGCGGTTTCGTTACCCGCACGTTCGCATAATGCCCTGGTTCAGTTCTAACGAATGAATGCGAACAGTCGCGACTGAGCAGCTCGCTTCAATGAGTACAAACGGCGTCATGCTCATTAAAGCGAACTGTTCATTCACTGTTTATTTGCATTTCTTTGTTTGCCCTGAAATCTAGTACTATCTAGAATCGTCAAGTAAAAGATCGAACACCATTTAGATTTCTGATTGATCCGCCATATTTTTCAGGACCTGCTAAGATACACTGCTAAATTTCGTAATAAATTTAAGTAACATGTAACAGAATCTCGTAGTCATGAAGTAATAGAAAAGTAATGAATGATTTAATTAAAAACTAAATTACAGTAGGTAGTTTTAAATGTAATGAACATGTGCATTAAATTTCAACAGATCCACATAAAATTTTATGAGAAGTACATTAAATTTCACATTAAATTTACATGTACACGAATATATACTTTTCAATTACAATACATTATAAATATAACGTAACATTTCATGAAATTAAATTTAACTTGTGTAAAAGTACATTAAATTTCATGATATTTTTAGCAGTTTAGAATGAGATAAATTATACATAAGATAGAATGAGGTATCCACGCAACTCATTCTACCTTATGCATCTTATTCTAAGCAGAAAAGCTGGAAAATTATGACGAACTAATCAGAAGTTGTCTAAACGGTGTCCAGTCTGTTACTTGAGGATCTCTACATAAGTCGCTCGCGAATCACCGACGCGAAACGTACAGAAAATAATATGTACTTTCGCATGTCTTATGGAGAAATCTCACCGTGACGAATTGCTCGGCCCTGATTAGAAATTTGATATAAATGCGCCTCGTGCTCGCTTGTACTTTCCTGGATGCGCGAGATCGTGAAACAGCACATGAAACGTCAATATGTTGAATGCGTCACTGCATGACATTAGAGATACCTGTATATTTTATGATTTTTCAAAAAGATTGAGCGTGAGATTAGATCGCTTAATTAAAATATTTTTGCAATTTTTTTTATGTATAAAACATTCAGAACGTAATGTATTAGTAATGATAGTAACTAGTTATTACGGCTGAAAAGTGAAACGAATTAATTGCGTGCGAATTAATTAATTAAAAACATAACAACTTAACAGAAGTATACACATATTGAAAATTATGTTACGTTTTATATTGCATAAAAAAGGAAACGAGTAACCAGGAAACGATGGATAAAAATGATGGCAACGTTTCGGTGTGGACAAAGAGAAAACTGCATTTGTGGCCTGTTACGTGATCGATGATTGATTATGTTCAGTTTATCCATCAATTCTGTATAATCAAGGTGTTATCGTCAATCCCGCTCAGAAATTAGTCACGATGAAATCATTGCGCGTATTAAGATGTCAAAGAGTCCCTAAATCGCTTCATCAGTTTTACGATGTCAAGGGCATTCGCGACTCCGTTAAATAGTGCATACTAATTGCCTAACGGGAAGGTAACAGTGAATTGGCTGTCATTCAATTTACACGTGAATACCTAGGAGCACAATACGTGAGTGACACGAAAAAAAACACACTATCCATTTAATTATATTATATACACCTGTATAAAAGATTTCCGGGTCCAATATTATTCTTCGATTTGTCACAAAACAAGATGAATAGGGACTACACTGATAATGAGAGAAAAATATACTAAATTTTAATAAGTTTTTATTTGAATAGTGCCGGTTGAATATTTACTAAATGTAAACATATATTTATTTAATACAAGAATCATTAATTTGATTTATCAATATTACTATACCTATTATTATACCTATTATTATTTTATTTAACTTTTTATAAATATTTATTTTCCGTAAATAAATGTTATATTAGTACTATTCAAACAATTATTTATTGAAATTAGTACATTTTTTTTCAGTGTATGTATTTATTATTAATTGTATTTATTATTAACAAAGAAACATTTTACTTTTAAATGGAAAATTCTTAAGTTTGAATAAAATTAATTTTCATTTTGAATAAAATGATTTTGGATATCGCTTTCGTATCAAATACTATAGCGCCAGCATCGTGTATTATAACGTCGGATAAAAATTATTCTAAACGTAAGAATATGTGTTATTCTTGTTTTATATAAAACATTAATGCCCATTTCTATCAATGTAGATTAGCTTCAATTTTGATTCAATTTATTCTTTATCTTTTTCTAATTCTAAAAATGAGAAAAAGATGAGGAGATAAGTTGAACCAAGATTAGTTAATCTACAAAATTATTCTACATTGGTAGAAATCATATAAGTCAGTCTCTCTCTCTCTCTCTCTCTCTCTCTCTCTCTCTTATTTAATTCGAGACAGGAGAATAGGAATTTAATCTAATTTAATTTTATTATTTTATTTTTATACTTTTATATCGTAATAAGATTAAGTACGTAAAAAATATGTTTTTGTTTCGTTATTAGATATTCTTTCTGAATAGAATAAAAAATCTTTTAAATAAAAACCTGCTTGGTTTCGAAATCTTGCGCCGATCAGAGAAGATATTTAAAAGGCATTAATGTTACGAAATACGACACGCAACTCTTCAAGACAGGAAGACGCAAAGCCTCAACAAATTTAATGCTAACGATGTCGATCGTATCGCTTAATGTTAGATCATACCGCGCATACGCGATATTACGCGCCGCTAAAATTGGTACAAGTGGCGGTCACGATTATTTTCGACGCGATGATCGCAGCGCCGAAGTCGAAGCGGTTGTCGCGATGTCCACATACTTTAGTTAATACTGCGCGATAAATTCGTCCATCGCGCACGATTGTCATTGTCATTGCGTAACGCAATTAACATACCTAATCGCGAGCTCGCGTGATCAGTTTGGAACGCCTTCGGCACTGCAACGATTCTCGGCGATTCTCGAATCGTTGTTATTTCAAATATTTGCTACAAATGTGAAGACTCTTGTCGATCGTCCCTTCTTATCTAATCTCTCGATGATTAACGTGCGTGTGTGTTTCCGTGTTCGATCTATGCAGTTTCGTCGACGATGATACCAGGTGGAATGGGATCTACAGTAGTCTAAGTTTGTCTTCTCCGCAAGAAGCGATACGAGCGTAGAAAATAATATCGTCGACGTCGTGAATAATTGGCGTGCTCTGGAAAGTGATTAGTGTGCAAAACAACTCATTATATTCTGCGATGCACTCATATCGCACGCGAAAAACATCGTTACAACAACGTATCTTTTGTCACTGGCCTTGAACGCCTTTTATTACGACGACCATATATTTATCTTTACGGATAACGACTCGAAGAAATGACTGCTTACGTAGTTCTCTCACAAACTTTACGTGGCCGTGTACATTTTCTCTCGTGCATTTGGCAAGAATAATTCAAGATACTTTCCGCATGGCGAAACGTCGTTGATCATTTGTGATTTAACGTTGACACCAACGTCCCAAAATATATCGAGGAGCTTAGGTTTTGGTTTTTCGAAACCGTTGGGAAACATGAGTGTACTTCGTCCGAAGACGTTCCCCGCGGTTCCTACTTGGTGAACCGTTTTCAAGGAGTAGGGAGCCGCGATAACCGGTGCCAACGTCGCGGCGTCTTCCTCAGACGCATTTCGTGTGCGTCGCGCTACGCAGGTACCGATAACAGGTGTCGGCGAGGTACGCCGTTACGCGAGTGTAAGACAATTCAATTATTTTGACAAAACGCAGGTTCGTTTCTCAAGAACGTGATAATCGTGTTAAATCGGCTTCGATAATCGACTTCGCGATCGTGTGATCCGTTTCACGGAAGTTCTGCGTCATATCGCGTTGAGTGGCGGTGCGACGATTCGAGGTGAATTCTGTGCGATCTGATACGTATTATGCAAGGTCACCTGATATTGCCGGATTTCAACGTAAATTTATCTGTACAGGGTTGTCACAAAATTGGAAATGTCAGGGAAATCAGGGAAAAGTCAGAGAATTTTGCAGTTTTCTGAAAAATAAAAATTCTTAATTTTAAAGAAGTTCGATATACATCGCACCAATGAAGTTTTGGAATACTACTAACTTAATAATAAAATACAAGCAGTGCAGTGACATTGAGAGAATTTTTTCTTAGAGTTTACCTTGAAAATATATGATAGTGGGATAATATTATATTTCGAAAAATTTTAATGTAAATCTCTCGTTAGTAAAGCTACAAT